AAAAAAAAAAAAAAAAATCATAGTTTTAAGCCGGGATTGGTGCCCACATTCAGCATCTCAGTATCTGGGGAGGCTGAGGCAGACATGTGGAAAGCTTGAGCCCAACCTATAGAATTTAGAATTTTGCAAGATGCTGTCTCAAAATAATAAAAATAGGACTCAGGTGTGGCTCAGTGTGAAGGCCCAGCCCCGCAACAGCAGTTAACTATAGGTGGTGCCGCTACCCCAGGGCCTCTGCACATGCCTCCCTCTCTGTGCCCACAGCTCCTCCCTCAGATCTCTAAGGCTCTCCCAGTAGAACAGGGGCGTGACCGGGTTGATGGGCGTGGCCTGTGGAAACTGACCAATGGCGTGGAGGGGGCGGGCCCCCGCACTCGGGGCGGGGACCGCAGCGCTGATGGCTTTTCCAGGGAGGAAGCGGGAGAAGGTGCCAGGAAGAGATAAGGTGGGCGGCAGGCCGGGGCTCGGGGGTGGCTCCGGGATTTGTCCTTGTTTCCGGAGCCGCCTCCTGCCTAGCCAGGGCACCAGGTGTCCAGCCCGCCGCGCCCCCTGTCCGGGTTCCCCAGGGGCCCGGGGATGGAGGGCGAGGAAGCCAGAGAGAAGCTGGCAGCGGCCGGGCTGGAGAAAGTGCGGGATAGAGGAGGAGCCGCAGGGCAGGGAGGAGAGGCCGCATCGCCAAGCTCCCAGCCCCGTCCACACGCTGGCTCACAAGCAGGGTTCCCGGGGCGGAGGGGATTCTGACTCATCCTCTCCCTGTCCTTAAACCAACAACTCAGCCCAGCCGCCGCCGCCGCCGCCGCCGCCGCCGCCGCCGCCGCCGCCACCACCTACAGCCTTCTGGGCCCCGGTCCGCCCTGGCAGCCTCCCCTGGTGACCGCCTGGGTTGGCCTCTCCCTCCTGAGGCCCGACCCCGACCCAGGCTCCCCCTGCAGCCTCCACGCTGGCCTCCCTGGCCTTGAATGCCCTCCAGAAGCATTCTCACCCCATCCTGTCCCTGCCCTGAAACCTGCAGTGGCTCCCCAGTGCCCAGCACAGCCCGCCAGAGCCCACGCTGTTTACCCAGGGCTCCACACCAACATCTCCTCAGCACCCTCTCTTCCTGGATGCCCTTCTTGCCTCTCCTGAGTGACCTGGCCCCAGCCCTGGCCACCCGCAGCTGTCACTGTCCTAGGGTGGTTAGTGAAGCTCAGGGTTTGTCTAGTGTCTCAGTCAGTAAATATGTACTGAGCGCCAGTCTGTCCAAGCTCTGTAACTTATCCTGGAGGACTCCCAAGGTCCCTGACTCTGAGGAACTTAACAGGAGTTAAGGACACAGATGGCAAACACAGACCCCCAAGAGGGGCGGACACAAGGGGGAGTGCTGGTCCTGAGGGTAGAATACCAACAGGGTTAGGGCCAGAGCAGGACCTATACAAACGGGGGAAGGACAGACATGATAAAGACCTGATAGAGGTTTAGAGTACACCAGTGTTTTGGAGAGCTGAAGGAGGGAAGCAAAGGAGAAAATAGGTTTCCAGGAGACAAGATAGCAAGTGCAGAGGCCCTGGGGCAGGGCTAGGAGGGGTGCTGTGCAAAGGATGATGGGAAGGGAATGGGAGATGAGAGCCGAGGACATGGAGTTGGAGTGGGGCAGGCATAGGATCTGTAGGTCACCTGAAGGACCTGGCTTTCAGAAATGGGGGTCATGGGAGCTGGGGACAGAGGGGAGACAAGATACAATCTGATTGCAAGCTGTGGTGGCATGCTTGCCTGTAATCCCAGCACTGGGGAGACAGAGGCAAGAGGGATCACTGTGAATTTGAGGCTAGCCTGGGCTGCATAGTGATGAGACCCTGTCTTAAAAAAAAAAAAAAAAAAACAAGGGCTGGAGATACAGCTCAGCAGCACAGTGCCTGCCTTGCAAGTGCAAGGTGCTGAGTTCGATTCCCCATACCGAATCAGACAAAAGATACAAAAGAGCAGAGACAGCCTACCCCTCCCTCTCCACAAGAGCAGCCAAGTGTAGGGCTCACCCCCTAACCTCGGGGTCAGGTAGTGCCAGCTCTGCTTGGCCTCGCCCCACTACCCAACTCACCCTGGCCAGCCGTGCACGCTTCACCAAGTCGTTCAGCTTGCGCAGTGCTGCGTGGCGCGGCAGGCCCTGAATGTCGCGAAACAGATCCTGCTCCTCTAGCTCGAAGAGGCGCCGGTTGTCGGGCACGAGGAGCGGCTGCGACCAGAAGGAGCCAATGTAGACGCGCAGGACCTCTGGCGTGCCCACCACCTTGCCCAGCGCCCACATGAGCGCTCCGTACACTCGCATCAGCTGCTGCGTTTCCACCATGTCAGCCTTGTTGAGCACCACACGGATCTTGTCCTCGTAGCCGTGCAGGGCGCCGATGGCCTCGGAGAACTCATCGGAGATCTCCAGCTTGTGCGCGTCGAAGAGCAGGATGATGAGGTCGACGCGCTCCGCAAACCAGCGCAACACTGCTGGGAAGTCATAGCCTTGGGGGAGGGGAGCAGAAGTCAGACCCCACTCTCTAGAAACGATCGTGCTTTTTGGACTGTACGGATGTTCAGGTTGTCTGGATGTTACCTATCCATATCCTGGTCTATGTGAAATAGCTGAGGTCCCCCTGTGTGCTGGCACTCAGGTTTTCTAGAGACCCCTGTACTTCTGCAGACTCCAGGCCTGCCACGGGCCTCCATCACCTCTCCCCTCAAGGCCAGCTCGAATACAAAGCAAAACCCTGTCTCAAAAAAAAAGGGGGGGGGGGGGGACACAGGCCAAATAGCTCAGCAGATTAAAGCACCTGCTTAGGCAGACGCGGGGCGGGGCAGGGGCAGGGGGATCCCCAGGCCTGCCCTGCCGGCCCCGCCCCCAGGGCACGCTGAGATGGTGATTGAGACTGGGCTTGGCGGCCTGTGCCTGTAATCCCACCACTTGGGAGATTGAAAACAGGAGTATCATTACAAGCTCAGTCTTCATAGTGAGACCCTGCAGACCCGGTACTAATTTTTTTTTAAAAAAGGAAAAAAAAAAAATTCAAGCAAAACTTGTGAGCCCAACCTGGAAGACAGGCACACCGAGTGTGAATCCTTGCTGTGCCGCATCAACCCTGCAACTTCAGGAAAGCAAGTATTGAAATCTCTCTGAACTTGTTTCCTCTTCTAACGGACTGGAAATCATAACAGCACCTACCTCACCAGGTGACAGAGAAGATGAAAAGAACAAGAATGAGCTAATGGATGTAAAGAGTTTAAAACAATGGCTGGCATCAAACTGTACACTAAAAAGTGAGTTTTATGACATGTAAGTCATAACTCAATAAAAACAGCGCTGAAGCCAGGCATGGTAGTGCATCCCTGTAATCTCAGCACCCTGGGAGGCTGAGGCAGGATGGTCACAATTTCTAATCCTATCCTGGCCTGGACAGTTTAGCGACTCAGTGAGATACTATCTTTTTTCTTTTTTCTTTTTTTCCTCCAAATGCCTTCAGGGCAGGTTTTGGCTTGTGGGGATTGAACCACAGCTACCTGAGCCTGACTGCTTTGTTGAAGCAGCCACTTAAAGAACTGAGCTAAGGGGCAGGCCCCCAAGATACTATCTTTAAAAGAAGTGAGGATATAGGGAATATAGCTCAAAATGAAAGCCCTGGCTTCAAGCCCCAGTACTGCAAAATAAAAATAAACAACTATCCCTAGCACCACATGCCACACCAGCCCCACAACTGGGCATGCTGAGGGCGTGCTAGTGCACACCTGTAATCCCAGCGTTGAGGAGGCTGAAAACAGGAGGATCACTATGAGTCCGAGCTGCTTAGTGGGACCTTATACCAAATACATTAAAAAGAAAAATAAAATAAAAAGAAACAAAAACGAGGAGGCCAGGGAGATGGCTTAGCAGCATAAGTGCCTGCCTGAAAAGCTCAAGATCCCGAATTTGACACCCAGCACCGAGAGAGAGAGAGAGAGAGAGAGAGAGAGAGAGAGAGAGAGAGAGAGAGAGAGAGACCGGTTAGTAGGAACACAGTAGCTGGGTTACAAGGGTTAGACCTGATGTGTAGCCTCCACCAGGTGTCTCTGGAACCTTCCCAACCTGCCTGCTCTGGAGAAGGGGCAGGGACCATGGGGCGGTGTCAGCCCTGTCCTTATGAGCTAACAGTCCCCAGCATCACTTTTGTGACCTCATTTTCCAGACAAGAAAACTAAGGCATGAAAGACTAAGAGGCTTATGACAGACACACAGGCAGAGGGAACAGGACAAGAGCCAACAGGCCTGTCTCTATGCTCCCCTGCTGGCGAGCTAGTGTGGCCCTGACCTGGTCCAGCCCAGGCTCCTTGGGGATGTGGTGAGGTGAGCAGGGTGCATTTTGGGAAGGGAGGGCTGGGGCACATGTGCGCGCGCGCGCACACACACACACACACAGAGTCCAGTGGACTTGGTCAGTGTGTCTCACCAGGCATTGATTCACGGTGAGAATGGACATGGAAGGGCGGGACTGGAAGGAAATAAGTCCCGCCCCAGGTCCCACAGTGCCCACTGTGTGCCAGCTCAGTTCCAAGGCTGCTAACCCTTCCTGCAAGCCCGGGGTGAGAGTGTCACTGTTCCCATTCCTATTGAGAGCCAGGCGCTGGGCAGGTGGTACATTTTAAAGCAGCAGAGCCCCAGGCAGGTGTGTGGCGGCGTACACCTGTGATCCCAGCACTCAGAAGGCTGAAGCAGGAGAACCACCATAAGTGAAAGGCCTCAAGGCAGGCCTGGGCTCTCTCTCTCAAGGAAAACGTAGCACAGGCCAGACTAGAAGTCAGCTAGAGCCCCACTAGGCCAGAGTCTCACACCCAGTGCTCACAGATGCTGCATGTGCGCAGAGGGTGCTACACGCCCAGCACAGCACATGCAGCTGGACACAGTGAGAGGCACAAAGACTCAGAGGGGCTGGGGAGATGGCTCAGTAGAGTAAGCGCTTGCCTGGCCCCTGCATCTGCCCACCCCCCTTGGTTCCGCCAAAAAAACAAAGACTTAGGCTTCCAGGCCACCCCTGCTCAGCATCCCCAGAGACACAAACACACAAACACACTCCTACAACCTGAGACACCAGCACACCTTCAGAGGCACGCTTGCACATCCACTGCTCTTCAGAGGCACAACCACACACACATGCAGCGCTCCCAGATCCAAAGGCGCCCGGAGACACAATCACACAGTTGTGCAACATACACTCCCACACACATGCTCTCACAGTTAGGTACACAGGGCACCGCTGTGCACCAAGACAACATTGTCCATAGAGCCTCTTTCTGCTGGGCATGGTGGCACACACCTCGAATCCCAGCGCTCGGGAGGCTGAGGCAGGAGGATTGCTGAGAGTTCGAGGCCAGCCTCGGCTACAGAGCAAGCTCCTGTCCTAAAAAAAATTCTCTTGTGGTCCTCCATAAACCACACAAGAGAGGCACATGCAGACACAGGTCTGCCCAGCCAGTCTCACTTGCACGCTCATACCCACACTGCACTGCCCCACTGTCCACGCTGCCTTAGCCAGGTAGGCAGAAGATGTGTAACTCAGACACACAGTCACCATACAGCAGTGTGCAAGGTCGTTTCACACGGGCCCACAATGCCCAGCCGGCACTCAGCCCTCCACAATGCCCTGTTCACACAGTTGCAGTTCTCTCTCTCTCTCTCTCTCTCTCTCTCTCTCTCTCTCTCTCTCACACACACACACACACAGAGCCTCCACACAAGTCACACACAGTGACACACTTTCCCAAGAGGTCTGAGACACACCTCAATGCAGAGTCTCCTCTTCTCCCCATACCCCCAAGTTAGAGAAGGAGACCTCATTCTCCATTCCCCAAAGCCTGAGCAGAGACATGGGAACGGGCTCCCAGGCTGTCCCTGGCCAGCCCAGGGTGGGAGCCCCAGGAATTCCTTTCTGGCTGGCAGTGTGTCCTCAGCCTCCCCCGCCCCCCCCCCCAAGGCTCCTGCAGCTGCCTCCTGCCTCTCCCGCTGCGGCCGGGCCACTGGACAGGGGCCAGGGACACGGAACCCTGGGTGTCCCCGCCCCACCCTGGCCTCCCAGGTCCCCTCTGCCCCACACTGCTGCCTCCTTTGCCCTGGTTCTAGGCAGGCCTGTGAGACCAGGAAGGGGGGTGGGCAGATGCAGGGGCCGGGGGGAGATCCTGGGGAGCAGATCCTGTGGGGAGATCCTGGGTGCTGGGGTGGGGGGCAAGCAGCAGGGGCCGGGTAGGGACGGCTCCCTCGAGGCTCTTCTGGAATTCACCCTGCTGCTCCCCCTGCACAGCTGTTTATACATTCCAGGCCAGGCCTTGGCCCTGGCCCAGATTCCCCTCCCGCCCTACCAGCCCCATCTGCACCCAGGCCAGCCCAGCTCTGACTCTCTGACTTGAGTCACTCGGAACCCCTGCCTTGGGCGGGCACTCTGTCCTCCTCACCCTGCCCCTCCCAGCTCTGGCTGGCCCAGGCGTGTGCCCAGCTGCTCACACGCGTCCCCCACACGCTTCCCATGGCACCCTCAGCCAGCATCCACATAGGACAATCGCAGCTATGACCCCCACACACACACGCTGCCCCCCTCACTCACCGCGGCTCACTCTCTGCTTGGCGCCTGACAGGATGCCGGGGGTGTCGATGATGCTGATGCTCTCTAGGACCTGGTTGGGGAGCTGCGCACACATGAACCTGGGGGCAGGGAGGTCGGGGTCAGCAGGGAGGACGCCACCCACAGCAGAGACGGGGTGCACACCGGGGAGGGCTCACTCTCCTCCCCACGGACAGCGAAGGTTCCAAGTCCCTACTCCAGACCACCCCAGGCCACCCCACCTGTTGAGGAATGTGTTCCCGAATGGGTTGAGCTTCCGGAAGGGCTTGTCAGGGTCCACAACCAGGGCATTGCCGGGCACAGTGCCCTCGGTGTCACCGTGCATGACGGCCACAAAGCAGTCGGTGGTGGGCTCGGGCCCCACACGGGAGCCGGGTACCTCCTGCTCCAGCAGGTACTGGATGAAACTGGTCTTTCCCGTGCTGTACTGGCCAGCCACCAGCACCATGGGCTTGCCGTCGAAGTCAGCATCCTCCAGGGCCTGCGAGTGGAAGGCGCCGAAGCGGTAGTGTTCCTCCAGCGGCAGCAGCTTGCTTCTGTACAGTTCCTTGAGCGCCGAGGTCACCGTGCGGATGGCCTCGGGCTGCTGGCCCCGGGCTCCACCCCGCTTCAGCCAGCTGAACATGGTGGCTGCACAGGGGTCACTGCACTGAGAGAGCAGACGGGGGAGCTGCTGGCTGCAGGGTAGCACTGAAGGGCGGGCGGCCTAGAGAGGGCAGGCAGAGAGAAGCAGGAAAAGGGCCATCAGGCGAGGACCAGAGGGGTGGCTGGGAAGGAGCTGCTGGTGGGAACCCAGAACAGCCACAGGGCAGCAAACTGCGGAAGAAGTCGTCGTTGGGCCACTTAGCACATTTCCTGTCACTCCTGAATGCTGTAGGCACAGGGCCACCTGCCCAGAGCCCCCAGGGGAGAGATGGGTGCCAGACAGTCAGTGACACCAGGAGAATACCAGGCATGAAGTAGAGGGAATGAAAAGCTGGCCACGGGGTCAGTATAGTTCAGAGCTTTTTCTTTTTTAAATTTTGAGACAGGGTTTCCTTAAACCGCTAAATTGTCCAGGCGGGGCTCAGATTTGTGATCATCCTGTCTCAGCCTCCCTGGGCACTGCAATGATAGGTGTGCGCCACCAAGCCCAACTAGGGCTGACTGTTGAGCTGCTACACACAAGACAGCGAGACAGGCCCTCAGGCAGAAGGTGGTAAGTGCAAACATCCAGGGGGAGGAGAGACCTTGGGTGCTGGGAGGTGGGAAGTACACGGTGGGGCTGACTCTGGGGAGGGTAAGAAATGGGCTGAGGTGAATGCTGCCCTTTTCATCTGCATCATCCTGTAAGACAGAGCTCTATTTTCTTCACTTTTTCTTTTTCTTTTTTTTTAAGACAGGGTCTAGCTATGTAGTCTACTGGCCTTGAACTCCAGGAAATCCTCCTGCCTCAGCCTCCCGACTGCTGAGATGACAGACATGCGGGTGTACAGCCAGGCACATCTTTTCAGAGAACTAGGTCTTGGTCTACCTTGCGTCTAAACACCACCCCAACTGGAAGAATCCAGGGCTTCTTTGAGAAAGGCAACCTCAGGGCTGGGCAGGGGCAGAAGCAACGGGCTGATCAGAGGGGTGGCGCTAGATCCGTGGGGCATGTCACAGAGACGCAGGGCCCAACTTGCGCCTCGCGCACTAGCCAAGACGGGACTATGTAAGTGCCGAAGTAATTGCAGAGCCAACACGGTAAAAATCCGTAAACTCACAAGGATACTTCACGGGGGTGGGGAGGGAAAGGAGCAGGAGGGCGCAGCAGGAGCTGGGCTGGGGATGTGCACAGAGGTGGGGTCCCGGGCGGGCGCTGACCCAGGCAGAGAGAGTCCCGGGGATATTTCTGGGGGACGCCTGGAGCTGGAGGGTGGTGGGCGACTAGTGGGACAGAGCCAGAGGAGGGCGGCTTGGAGAATGGCGAGGGTCGTGGGAGCCAGGGAAAACCTGCGGAAATGAAGCATGTGGGGTGGGGGTCCCCGGATCGTCACAAAGGGAGGGGAACACGGATTTTCGGGGCGCGGGCTCTGGGACACTCACCCGGCTGGAGTCTTGTCCGAGGCGCCGCGCGGCCTGTGCTCGGTCCCGTCTCCAGCCTTCTGCGCCGGGTGGGGCCGCAGGAGGAGGGGCGAGGGCGGAGGCGGGGCGCAGCCCCCCCACCATCAAAAGGGCGCCAGCCCCGGGCGCCCCCTGGCGGGCACGGGCGAGAACACCCTGACAGGGCACCCTGGCTCCCAGGCCCGGGTTCGAATGTCACCTGCGCCTGGGCGCTGGGCGCCTCGCAATCCGCTGCCCTTCTAACATGGGATTAGGAACATCAGCAGCAGCTCTAATAAATCCAATCATTTTAAATTTTAAGGGAGGCCATGCAACTCTGCCCACAGCCCTCCCTGACTTCTGTTTTCCCCTCCAGTGGCAGGGAGCAGCAGGAATCATAGGGACAGGCCAGGCCGGAGATGGTACAAGCCTGGGTGCTGCACCTCCTGTAGTGGGGGCTTATCTCCCGGTCCCTGTACTCTGGGACTCAGCATGTGAGGCTTTGGATGGAGTCCTGCCCTGACACTTCTCACAGAGAACCCCAGGGAAGGGACTCTGAACCTGTGCCTCAGTTTCCCCACTTATAGCCCTTTATCTGGTCTTCAGGGGTCGTTGCTCCAACACACTTTCGTGGCTAAAATCCTGCTGGAACCCTCACTCCGGTTTTCCTCCTGGCTCAATTTCCTTTCTTGGCACTTTGTCACACTACCCAGTCCACCTCTGTGACTTTGGAGACAAGGTCTCACTATGCAGCACAGGCTCGCCTCAAACTCATGGTGACCCTCCTGCCCCAGCCTCCCGTTTCCTGGGATCACAGGTGTGCAGCCCCAAGCAGTCTGAGGGCAGGAATTTTGTCCGAGTTGCTTGCCATTGTTGCCCAGTGCCCGGAGCACAACAGTTTTTATTTCTTTTCCGGTACTGAGTGGGGCCCAGGCAGGGCCTGGTGCACACTTAGCCAGTGCTTTGCCACCGTGCTACACCCCAGCCCACAAATAAATACCCAGGATGCAAATATTTAAATTTATAAGTAAAATAATACTGACAGAAAATATCCAATCAGTTGAAAGCGCCAAGGTCCATTGATGAGGTGGTGAAAATGTCCTGAAGTGTGTGGGCATGAGGGTTGCACACCTTCGTGAACACAAGAACAACCGCTGAATTGTGCAGTTTATGTCATTGAATCAGTTTATCCATTAGTTTTGTTGAGTCTTGGGGAGGACCTCATGCCCACTAGGCAAGCAGCCAGCATCCATCATCCTGTTCCGTGTTTTACTTTCTTTTGTTTTGCTTTGTTTTCCGTTCTGGGGATGGAAGGACTGACGGAACCAGCTTTTTTCTCCCTAGTTCCCTCCATCCCTGTGTCAGACCTTGAAGGATGGAATGTGACAGGGGCCTCCGCAGACCTCAAAGACACCGTGCTGAGTGACAGCACCCAGGAGAGGAGCAGCTACCAGAGGCTTGGGGCTTAGAGACAGGAGCAGGGCGATGATGGCAGGGAGGCGAGGGGATTACTGCTGGGGGGGGGGCAGAGCTTCCGTGTGGGATGGTGACCAAGGTGGTGGTGGCTGCCCAATCTTACTGCCACTGCATAGAATCTTTAACAATGGTGACTGGAGCCAGGGGCGGTGGCACACGCCTGAAATCCTGGCACACAGGGAGGCTGAGGCAGGAGGATGGATCGCCGTGGGTTCAAGGCTAGCCTAAGCTGCGTGGGGACTTCAGCTGGAACATCACAGTGAGACCCCGTCTCAAAACGCCAAAGACGGCCCATCAATTCCCGCCCAAAAATACCGCTCATCCGCGAGGTGTCGCGCGTGGTCCCGGCCCCACAGCTCGGGCCGCGGTCAGCCACGCTGGCCCACGCGCGAGGAATCTCTGGCGACCTTCACTCGGGACACGCAGGGCTGCGAACCAGGGGCGCGGCTGCGCACGTGGAGCGTCGCTGCGAAGCTGGAAGGAGGACGGCCAACCCTGTAGAACCCACGTATCCGCATCCACCCAAAAACACGTCGGCGGCACGCAGGGAAACGGGGCGCAGCTCCCCGCGCCTGCGCCACCCTGGGCCAGCGAGGTCCCTGGCTCGCGAGCTCCGCTTCCGCCCTTGCCTTGTCCCGCCAGCCCGCAGAGGGCGCCAGCATCCTCCTGGGCCGGGCGGGCCGGCCTCCGCCCCTCCCTCTTTTCCTGCGTGCCTCTGCTCGCGCGTCACCCCCTCCCAGAGCCCACACTTTGGTGCCAAGAAAGTCAAGCGCACTTGAGCAAGTTGTTCACTGCACGAGTCACCCACTGAATGGGCGAGAGAAGGTAAAATCCAGCTCACACCTTTGCCTTCCAAAGTTGGGGCCTAGGAAAAGAAAAATGGTCTTGCCACTCAGGAAGCGGGCTAGTAGCTAACTTGAGAATAAAGGCCTGTTGTTTAAAACCACCTAGCTTGTGATATTTACAGCAGCCCGAGGAGATGATTTACCTATTTTTCCCCTCGAACTTGCACCGACCCTTCTGCCTCAGCCAGTGCTGGGATTTGAGGTGTGTAACACATCCAGTTTAAATTTCTTTCTGTGTGGTCTAACACTGCGCAGAAGTACAGCTGATCGCCATTATTTGTGGCTGCCGTATCTGCCAATCTGACCTGTTCGTTCAGATTTCTTGTACCCTCCCGTCTTTGCTTCCTCTCCAGTGCTCCATGTAGACCACACTGTCTACACTTCTGTTTAAATAGTGAGTCGCTGTTTTAAGGCCTATTAGGCCGTGTGCGCTGGCGGACGCCTGTAATATAATGATGCTGAGGCAAGAGGATCTTTAGGAGTTCGATACCAGCCTGAGTTACAAGGTGAGCTCAAGGCCAAGCTGAACTGCATAGTGAGACCCTGGCTCAAAAAGATGAAGAAAAAAAAAAAAGCCTGAAGAACGGAGCTGCCCCATGTCCTGAGTGTCATGCTTCAAGGTGACTGGGGGAAAATAAGCTTTATCCCATCCTGGACACTGTTGGTGGCTGGGAGCTCCTGGTTATTTTGGGGGATGACACCAGGACCCCAGCCCATGCTGACATCCCCCCAGGCTCAAGTCCCTTATGGAAGTGGCACAGTATTCTCATACAACATATACACATCATGGCCTAAGTGATTAAGTTGCCAAGGCTGGGCTCAAACTGACCATCCTGCTTCCACCTCCCAGAGTGCACACCTGCACCTGGGCCCTATGTATTTTATCATACCAATGCTATGTTTTTTCTTTTTCTTTCTTTTTTTTTTTTTTTTTTTTTTGTATGCATTCGGTACAGGATCTTACTATGCAGCTTGGACTCTTAAAGATCCTCCTGTTTTCAGTCTCCCCAGTGCTGGGATTACAGGTGTGTGCCACCATGCCCAGACTCAGTCCCTCTGTGTGCCACAGAGGTGGGGCCACCGTGGCATGCGGGACCGGGGATCGAATCCTCGTCTCTGTGCTTTGCCAAAGCAGGTGCTTACTCCACTCACTGAGCTATCTCGCCAGTCCTGGTATGTAAATAGGTCCACGTTGGAACGTTTTGGGGATGATGACGAGAAAAAGTCTACACACATTCAGTACAGATGCAATTTTTAAAAAATTATTTCCTATCCCTGGTCAGTTGAACCCACATTTGGGGGATCCAGAAGTGTGGAGGGTCAGCTGTATACACTGAAAGACTTTAAACATAAAACAAGATGACTAGCAGGCCTGATAGACGGTGCTGGGGATCAGAGGACCTTTCCGGCGGAGGGGACTTGCAGCTGCCGCCCAGCAGGAATGCCTGCCTTGTTCATGCGGCCCAAGCCAGGGCAGAGCAGGCCCAGAATCCAGCAGGCACCCACCCAGCACCCTCAGCCCTTTCCCATCACCCCCCAACCCCCGCAAGCTCCTCAAAAGCAAGGGACCGAAGGGGCACGAGTACAGTTTTAAAAAAAAGGATTGTTGTTTTTTAATTTACAAGAGTTCTAAATGTACAGAATTCTCCTTTAAAAAAATCGTTATACACAATAAATACAGTACAAAAAAATTTATCTTACAGTACTAGTTTTGTCTCCGAGATTTCAAAACGTGGCGTGGGAGGCAGGAAGGGAAGATGGCTGGGTGGGATGGAGGGAGACCCCGGGCCTGTGGCTGGGATTTCCAAGTGGAGGGGCTGAGTGTCCCGGATCTCTCCCTTGCACACGCACTCACACACAGACACGCATACACGCATACACACGGGGACACGGGCACAGCTGGGCAGCACCCGTGCGGAAGTGATGTAGGTGGTCTGGGACCTGGCTCCCACCCGCCTTGGGTTTGGTTTATAGCCCGGGCCAGGAGGCTGGGGGCCCTGGCAGGAGCCCCCCCACCCCCAGTACCCCCAACCATGATCCTGATGCCACACAAACAAGATTGGTGTCCGGGCATGGACAGCAGGAACACCTGGTGCCCCATCCCCAGCTGACAGCAGGCTGCAGCCGGAAGTGGGAAGAGCAACACACCAGAAAGCCCCTCCTTTGGTGGTGGGGGGACACTTGCATGTGACAGTCCCCTCTCCTAAACCCATACGCTCTACCGGACCCCTCAACAACCCTCCGGGCAGGAGCGGAGGTAGGGAAGGAGGCCTTTGTGACTCAAATAACTTAGGCAAGAAGGACTGCAGGGTCCCTGGGCTGGTGTCCCTGGGGAACGTGGTCCCAGCTGTCCTCAGGGCAGGGTGGGTGGTAGGCCGCGTGTTATCTGTTCAACGTCCTGCCGGGGCCCAGGCCTCCATTGTGGCTGGAGGGAGGAAAGGCCTCAGGCCTGTGCAGGGGCGGTGGGGACCCAGGCGCAGGAGGCACGGGGTGGGGGCCCCGGCCCGGTGGCTGCTGCAGGTTTAAGATGCTGTCGATGGCGCTCTGCAGGTGCTCTGTGAGTGCGTCGTCCTGAGGACTGTCGCTGGAGAAGCTGGCCTGGTCCATGTCCGGAGACTCAGACTTGCGCCGCTTGGTGGGGGGCGCAGGGGTTTCGTCCCAGCCAGGATCAGGCGCTGTGGCTCCCGGGGCTGTGGGCTCCGTTGGCGCTGCCTTGCGCAGGCGCTGGTACAGCTCGTCCTCCACTGCGGCCAGCTCGCGGATGAGCCCGCTGGTGGCCTCGTCCGCACGTGCGCCCACGTTCTCACGGTAGGTCTTGCGCAGAGGCAACCGCGGTCCATGCGTGCCGGGCCCCGGGCCTGAGCCGGGCCCTGGCCCCGGTCCCGGTCCTGGCCCCGGCCCCGGCCCGGGGCCAGGTCCGGGACCGGGGCCAGGTCCCGAACCTGGCCCTGGAGGCTTGCGTTCGGCAGCGGGAGCTGAGCGCTCGGCCGTGCCATTGACTTGGCCAGCGGCGGGCGGGGGTTGGTGCACCGGGTCGAGCGCAGTGTTGTGCACCACCTTGCTGAGCCCCGCCTCCTGCTTGATCTTCAACTTCAGCCCAATGCGGCTGCGCGCCTCATAAGTCTTGATGGGCGGCCGGTTGCGCGACGGCATCGGGCCATCCTCATCCGCGTCCAGGGAGGAGGCTCCGGAAGACGACGACAGGGATGGAGATGACAGAGATGCGGACGCGGTGCGGGCCCAGGTTACCGATGGGGAGCCGCCTGCCCCGCCGTGCCGGATCACGAGCTTGGTGGGCGGGTGCGCGGGCGCCGGGACACCGGGGGTTGCAGGCAGCGCGGGGCTGGGGCCGTGGCTGTGGCTGGGTGGCCGGGGTACCTCGGAAGAGGCCACCGTTGCAGGGAGGCCGAGGGAGCGCGAGGAAGACACGTACTCGTCTGCAAAACCGGGGACGGAGCAAATCCACCGGGTTAGGAGTGGGAGGAACGGGGGGAGGGGCAGTGAACGGGCTTTCGAGCTCAGACCTTTGCTGCTTCTGGTTTTATAGCACTGCAGCTTGAACCTAGGGCCTTCGCACTGAGCTACATCGCCGGCCTTTTCTCACTTTGGATTTTATTTATTTTGGGGTTTTGAGACAAAGTCTTGGCTGGCCTCAACTTGCTGAAATCCTCCCACCTCAGCCTCCTGAATGCTGGGATCACAGGTGTCTGCCTCGAAGCCCAGCTTGATCAGTAAGCTCCAAACCCTCCGAAAGGGCTGGGGAGATAGCTCAGCAGCAACCGTGCCTGCCTGGCAAGCACAAGGTCCTGAGTTCAGTCCTTGGTACCAAAAAGGCTGAAAGAACAATGAAATAACCCTCCTGAAACTAATCGGGCTAACTGGAGGCTGCAGGAGCTACTGAGAGTTAGAAGTAATTAAGTAACAACAGAAAGCACAGTTCTTCAGTCCAGCTGGCCCCCTTTTTTTTTTTTTTTTTTTGGTAGAATCGGGGCTTGAACTCAGGCCCTTGCGCTTGCCAGGCAAGTGCTTATTCTACTGAGCCGTCTCCCCAGCACTAGCTGGCCCCATTTCATGCTCAAGAGTGGCACAGACCAGAGACTTCTGAATAGGCCGTTCAGCTCAGGACCCGTCAGCACTGGAGGGCTTCTGTGGACAGTGGGGCTGTACGGCAGGGGAAAGCCCGGTCTGGATGGGCAGGCAGCACCTGCGGCCTCACCTATCTCCTGCTTTGGCTGCTCCTCTGCCCTGAGCAGAAACTCCCCACAGGTGCTCCCCAGAGCCCCCAGGGGCCAAGAGAAGCTTGCAGATAAGGGGGCACCCATGCACCCACAACCTCCATTCTACAGAGGCCAGAGGAGGCACAGAGAGGTCGAGGAACTCGTCAAAGTCACAAAGCCACTACTAAGTCAATCCTTTGTCTTTACAAAACTGCCCCCGTCACTTTGGGCTATGGCTGCCACTTGCATCTGTTTCTTCTTTTAGTATTAATGACTAATTTTTAAAAATACATATGGTTGGGGGCCAGGGAGATGGCTCAGTAGAATAAGAGCTTGCCTGGCAAGCACAAGGTCCTGAGTTCAATCCCTGGTTCTGCAAAAATAAATAAACAAATACACACATACATATGGTCTGTTGTGACGTATAGGTTTGTCCCCAGCCATGGGGGGAAAAAAACCCAGGTTCAGGGCTCAAGGACAAAGCCCTGGAGTCCTGAGAGAGAAGTAGGAGAGATTCTCTTCTCCAAGGAAGCAATGGGTTTAGCTGGCATGAACATGGGCACAGGTGAAGGGGGTATTTTGGGTTTGGCTGGACTTTTCCTTACAGACAGGGGTGAGGCTTGCAAGACTCTGAAGGTGCACACTTTACAGGAACTCACAGAGTTCCACAAGCTCAGGATCTGACGAGTGGATGCGGCCACCATACATTCTGCATCCCAGACACCTGGTTTGCCTGGCCCAGCCCCAAAGCAGGGGAGCCACGATGGGAAGACAGTTGGCCTTCAAGGGTGCCAGGGAGTAGGTTCAGACACCACCTACTGGCGGACCAGGCAAAGCCGTGCAGTAGCGGGCTGGCCAGTGCAAAGCAATGTCCTGCCAAGCAATATCCCACCAAGCAATGTCACACCCTGCCCAGCTGGCTCACCGGGCTTCTCCTTGGCCAGCTGCTTATCCAAGGCAAGGGTGGTCTTTTCCTCCTGAATGAACATTCGGTCAATCATCACCATTTCCGCTGAGGGGCTCACCCTCTGGGAGAGACAAGAAGATCCCCAGGTCAAGAGGTAAGGAGGGAGAAGGCAAAGGAGGAGGCTCTTTTAAAATTTTTAGACAGGTGTCACTAAGTTACATTGCTCAGGCTTGGCTTTAACTTGCAATCCTCCTGCTTCATCCTCCCTGAGTGCTCCCTCATCCTCTACCACGTCCAGTCCTCTTCCCTCCCAACCTCCTTTCCAGCAAAGAGGGGCCGGGGTGGAATGTGGGCCCTACCCGGGACTCCTCCAGGAGCAACAGCCGGTACTTATTGAGCATGGCATGAGTGCGTTTCAGTAGCTGCGTGGAGACTGTCTCAAACTCCTCATCCACTGCCAGAAGAGAAGGGGTGCAGGGTGTTGGGGGGGCTGCACACAGACCATGCACCTCAAGCCAGGGCCATGGGGCCTGCACAGCTCAGGGAGGCCTCACCTTTGTGGTAGTCGCTGGGGGAGGGAAGGGCGCCTTGGTAGACGTGGTAGGGCAGTAGGCGGTACAGGGCATCCTCAAAAGAAGGGAAGGCTGTCTTGTAGTCAGGGTGGAGGACGGAGCCCTGGTGTTTGTGCAAATGCTCCAGGAAGCTGTAGGCAGGGCAAGACCACCGGCAGGTGGGGATGAGGCCGCAGGAGGAAGCTGTGCCCCACCCCTGCCCAGCCAAATACACCTCAAGATGGGAGTGCAGGCTACCATGACCCCACTTCACCACAGAGGAAACTAAGTCCAGGAAAAAATGAGGTGCAGCTACCCGCCACCCAGAGCACACAAGGAAGAAGAATTGAGTGGGAGTCGGGACCTGAGGGCCTCATTATTCTGTCCCCTGCCACCAGGGGGCAGCTGTCTCTGGTTGCCAGGAGCCCATGCATTCTCCCTTTGAAGAGACTGCTCCTTCTCTACTCTTCCTCAGGGACTGGCAGCGCTCATGGGCAGAGACCAGGTCTTCTGTCTTGTTGACTGCTGTGACCCTGACATCCAGCATGGGACACACTGGGTACCTACATCTGCCACCCACCTAGAATGGCTCTCATTACATAGCCTAAGCTGGCCTTGAACTCTGGGTCATGCTGCCTCACTCAGCCTCCCCAGTGCTGAGATCACGGGTGTGTGCACCACCTTGCCCAATGCCCGTTCCCAGGGCAGGACACAGTGTGTTCAGGGAAAGGCACGCGGTCAGTGGAGCAGAGCATTTGCAGAGCCGCTGCCACTCACCAGGCCTCCTTGCTGGGCTGCAGTGTCGGGGCTTTCTTCAGGCCGCTCAGCTTGCCCTCGTACTGGGGAGAAGACGCAAGGCTGAGGGGGCTTGGTCCACCCAGAAATCTTCAAGTTTTTCCCATCCAGCCCCTCACTCTGCCCCACAGCGCTTCATCTCAGCTGCCCGGGTGGGATTCACTCTGACTAGAGCTTCATCCCACTCCTGCCCTCTGTACCGGGCTACCCTAGAGCAGCAACAGCAGCAGCAGCAGCAGCAACAGCAACAGTAGCAGCAGTGCCAGCACTGTCCCTCTTCTGCCTCATGTCAGCACCCGTATCGGTGCCCCTCACTCTCTGTCCAGCTGTCTTAGAGTTAAATCTCTGGTCCTATCCCAGGGTCCACCTTTTCTTCCTGTGCCTGTGCCCCTGTCCCAAGCCCTGCCCCAGGGACCTCACCTGCAACCCGGAGGACTTCACTGGCCCAGCTGCTGAGGCCTTGGCCACACTCAGGGTTGGGAGGGTGCTGGAAAAAGCTTTGCCCTCGGTGGGAAGCGGAGCGGGAAGGCCTGTGTGAGGTGGGGAGGACAGGCCCCGGCTCACTGCATGGAGGCCACCTGGCCGTGAGCTTCCCGCCCTACTCCGGCCCTGGTCACCCTGACCTGGACAGCCAGCCCAGCCCCCACCTGCCCATGGTGCCAAGGCCCGGTGATGCCCAGCACCAGTACATCCCAAAGCTGTCAAACCCACCCCCCTCTAGCACCATGTCCCCTACCTGCAGTGGCCAAGGGTGCTGGTGCTGAGGGATGGCTGGAGCTGGCAGGGGTCCCAGCTGGGGCTGGCCCACCGACCAGCACAGAGGCAGTGGGGTTGGTGAGGGGCCCCAGGCTGGTGGAGGTCTGAGGGGCACCTGAGGCCTTGCTCTGGAGGATGATTCCGGACGGCACCTGAGGAGGGAAAGGTGGCTGAGGGGGAGGGGGCATGGCCAGGTGCACCAGGGCCAGGCAGGGTTGGGGTGCAGGGTGGGGGGGAACCCTGCTCCATACCTGGTGAAATCTTTCGAGCAGAGCCTTCGGCTGGGGCAGCGCTGGGAAGGGGGTGGTCACCATCTGGAAGGTCCGAGGAGGCGGTGGGGGGGGAGCTGTGGGCTCAGGGACCAAGTGGAGGGTCGGCGGAGGGGTGGGGGACTTGTGGGGCCCCTGGCCCGGTGGATACTGGAGTTGGAAGTCAGAAGGCGTAGGGGCTGGCAATCTGGTGGGTGTCTCGGAGGCAGCGGCCACTATGGAGGGGGTGGAGGCTGGGGGAAGGTGGGGGGCCGTGGTACACTGCAGCTGGGGGGCTGGGGGGAGAGGGCCCTCAGGTGGCTGGGATGGGGGGCGAAGAGGGGGCTGGGGTGGGCCAGGTGCCGTGGGTGCAGGGGCGCCAGGAGTTGGGGCAACGCCCAGCTGGTTCTGGATGACAAAGATGCTGGGCAGAGTGGGGGGTGGCTGGGGCGGGGGGCAGGGATGCAGGGTGGGCTCTGAGGGTGGGCGGGACAGGCTCTGGGGCTGGGATGGAGGGCGGGAGTGGGGGCGGGAGGGTGGGCGGGATGGAGGCCTGGCGGGGTGTGGGGAGGGCAGGTGGGGACTGTCTCCCAGTGGGGCCTGGTGAGGTAGTGATGGGGACGAGGAGGGGCCAGGGCCCTTCAGTGGAGCGGCTGCTGGGATCTGGGCGGGGAGGGAGAGGGAGGGGCGGGGTCAGAACCAGCCCAGCTCCAGTGGCTACCCTTGCCCCCAAGGTTGCCCTGACCCAGTGCCTACCTGCATCCTGGAAGCCACCCCTTCCCCTTCCAACACCCACCATAGCCCACCCATCACCGCATCTCTCTGCCCCCTCGCACCCCCACCCCCGACAAAGGGGAGCCCTCTGCATGGGGCAGCAGGAAGCGGGCGGCAGCCGCGGGGGCAGCAAGCAGAGCGAGCAGGAGCAGGCAGCCCCAGTCCAGCCAGGTCAAGGCAGATAAGACACCAGCGTGGGGCCGGGGACAGGAATGGCAGCGGTGGAGTGGGAGCTGGGTGCCGGCACGGAATGTCAACCCCTCTGGGGTGTCCAGGGCCAGCTCCTGTGCCTGTGTGTCTGCAGCCCAGGTGGACACCACTGAGATGACTGTGTGCAGGACTCCCTGACGACACAGGCAGCCAGTCAGCCACCGCACTGACTCCTGCGGCCCTGACAGTGGTGTCTCTTGGACCCACTTCCCAGATGGAAGGCAGAGGCCAGGGAGCCCAGAGGACCCATCTGGTCTCCAGACAGGGAGGGTGGCACTGGATGAGGGCCTTGCTCCATGCCTGTCACCCACCAGCCTGGTGTGACTGACCAGCACCCACCTGACTGGGAAGCCCCAGCTCAGAGGTCCCCCAGTGCACCCCCTCCTCACAGTCACCACTAGCTTCGCCGGGAACCTCAGCCTGGCCCTGAATCACTTCTCAAGAATGAAGCCCAGAACATAAGAAACAGCCTGGCCGGGGTGGGACACCATCTGCTGCAGGGCACGCGAGACACCCTGGCCCTCCTCATCCCCATCACTACCTCTCCTCACGTGGTATGTCAGGGCTGCCCCGGGCCTCCAAGGTGGCCAACCACACTGGCCCCAGGCCAACTCCGGAGTCCTGTGGCCTGGGACTTCACAGGGCTTATGACCTTGGGCCTGGGGCACACCCATGTGTGACAAGGGATACTGGGGAGGGTGGACCCTGGTACATGAGCCCAAGAGCCTGTAGGACAGTGCTGCTGAAGACCTGTGCATGTGCACACGCGTGTGCTGTGTGGCGCTTGTGTTCACACCCAGCGCCGCCTGCATGTTTGGCAAGCCCTCTGCCACTGAGTCTCATCTCCAGGCCAGCTAACGATATTTTTTAACTTTGTTTACCCTTTCCACAAAGAATAAATTTGAAGAATTTAAGTCAAAGAATAAATTTTCGAAGATTTCAAAAGAGAGAAAGGGTGTGGAGGGTGTGCTTCACTTGCATGAGCCATCCACTCTCAGGAACACCCACTGTGGGAAAATTCACAGCAGGAACCGGGGACAAGGACCGCTGAACTCCGCTGCACATAAGAACAAGTGCACCTGCGAGCTGCTCTGCCCTGAACACCTTTCCCCGCGAGCTCGTTAGAGGGCGCTAGGAGTTACACTGGCTTGTGCACGGCGGGTATTGCAACTTTACAGCGGCTGCGCTAAGTATGCCAACTTTGGTAATAGTATGCTGGCTCAGTAAGCGAACGTCCTTGATCCCCAAGGATAAAAAGCTGCACTAAAATATTAAGGGATGGAGGAACGCAACGCCTGCAACCGAGTCCCAAAAGATTCACGGGGGAAAATGTGCATACATAGTGAGAGTTGAGGACAATGCAGAATTTTTTTTCTTTTTGTTTTTTGGGTTTTTTTTTTTTTTTTTTTTTTGCGGAACTGGGGATTAAACTCAGGCTTGCCAGGGAAGCCCTTCTCCCACTGAGCCATCTCCCCAGCCCCAAAGATGTTAGGTAAACAAGGTGTGGTGGCACATGCCTGCTTAGTACTTGGGAAGCACAGCCAGGAGGCTCACTCATCACATATAAAAAAAATTTTTTTGATGGAACCAAGGATTGAACTCAGGCCCTTGCCCTTGCCAGGCAAGTGCTTATTCTGAGCCATCTCCCTGGCCCCTTGTTTGTTTTAAGACAGGGTTTTGCTCAGCAAGTGCTCCCTCAGCAGGAGGTCTGCACCTTGTCTAAGGTTAGCCTGGGCTACATAGTAAATTCAGCACCCTGTCTCAAAAATAAACAAACAGGGGACATAGCTCATTGGCAAAGCACCTGCCTAGCAAGTGCAAGGTCGTAGGTTCAATTCCTAGAAGCAAAAAAAAAAGTTGGGCATGATGGCACAATGCCTATAATCCCAGTACTGGGGAGGCTGAGGCAGGAAGATTGCAAGTTTGAGCCTAGTCAGGCAACTTAGCAAGAATTTAAATTAAAAAAAAAAAAAAAATTAAAGGCTGAGGATAAAGCTCAGTGTGAGGCCCCGAGCTCAAGGCCCAGGACCACAGACATATAGTCCACAAACTTATGTCTGCAGCAAAAATGACACACTGCTGGAAAGATCTCTTGTTCAGAGAACACATACAGCTCAACTCATACATAAACACAGCCTCTAGAAATCACTAAAGGTAACAAGCAGATGAGAAAAATGGGGCAAGGGATGCCATGAGATGGTGCACAGAAAAGAAAACACAAAGGCTCCAGTCTTTCAAGACGCATTCCAGCAACTCGCCTTAGCAGAAACAAGCCCTAAAGCGCCGCAGGGTAACTGACCCCACTTGGAATGAGCTGCACATTTAGTACCAACACCTCCGTCTGTTACCCCGGGGTCTGCTCCAGATCAAGGACTACAGTTCAGAGCGGTCACTCAGTCACACATGGACATCAGCTGTGACTCAACAAATGGGATGTCAGGAAGGGAGCAGGTAAACACACCTGGCATGGGCGTGCGGTGTTTGGGATGGGCTGGCGTACAGCCCCAGCTTACCCAAGTCAAGGCAGGGTGGACGCGGCAGCACACACCTGTGCTCCTGGCTAGGAGGCCTACGCAAGTGGATCACAAGTTCAGGCCAGCCTGGGCAACTCAGGCTGAGAGGAGTCTCCAGCAGCCCCGAACACCCAGAGCTGAGGAGGGGCCTACGGCATTTTGGCAGTGTTCACTGGGGAAATGATTCACAGTGACACACACAGAGGTGCCGGGAAGTCGGGAACTCTTGGTGAGCTGCCTGGCAGATAACACGCAGCCTTTTGGGAACACGTGGGAGAGAAATGTAGACCGCTCTCTGCAGTAGGTTGCTCACACCTAACCAGAACTGGAAGGACTTTTTTAAAAAAATGAGTTATTAGCCAGGTGTGGTGGCTCACGCCTGGAATCCCAGCACCCAGGTGGTTTCAGCAGAACCACGAGCTGGAGGCCAGCCTGGGCTACACACTGAGATCTTGTGTCAAAAAACAAAAGAAATGAGTTCTTGGGGCTGACGAGATAGCCCAGTAGTCTAAAGCGCCTGCTTAGGCAAGCTTAGGCAAGCACACAGGGACCTGGTTCAATCCCCAGCACCACATGCCATGTCAGCCCCGCCCCCAGGGTGGGCTGAGCTGACCATAAAAAAGAAAAAAATAAATAAAGGAAACATTAAAAAAAAAAAAAAAAGAAAGAAAGAAATGAGTTTTGTGGTTACCTGTAGGGGAACAGGGAGTGCTGGGCTGGGAATGAAGTGATAGGTTGGGACATTTTTTCCTGTACTTCAAAACATATTTTTTTTTTCTTTTCTTTTTTTCTGATACAAGATCGTAATTTGGAGTTCAGGCTGGCCTTGAGCTCACTGTGCAGCCCAGGCTGGTGGTCCTCAGGCCTAGACCTCCTGAGTGCTGGGATTAGAGGTGTGACCCACCATGCCTCACCTAAACATATTTGAAATGGTGGATGGGGGGGGGCTTGATGAAAAACTCCAAAATGCCACCCACTGTGTCCACGTGGTAGTATTACAGGTGCCTAATTTTTCTGCTTTGTCCTTTTCGGTGTCTTCTAATTCTTTACATAAGTGATATGATTTTTACAATCTTTTCATTACTAGGGGCAAATACAGGGCCTCAGGTATTCTATGCTAGTGCTCCACCACTGAGCAACATTGCCAGGCCAATCATAAACAGAACAGACTGCTGCGCTGCGGCATCAGTGTTTACTAAGAGCAGAGGCGGGCAAAGCTCACAGCACCTGCACGTGGAGCGCACGGGTGGAGCTCGCTGTGCTGCCGTCCCTGGTGCGGCCCAGCCCTGCCAGAGGCGCCCCTGAGTCTCTCCAGCAAATGCTCCAGGTGGACTGCCTTCTGGATCCTGCAGTCCCTCCAGACGCTACCCTAAGTGGTCAGGCAGAGGGGACTGAATTCGAACCCCACAGTGAGTGCACAGGCGGGCCCCGCACACCCCTGGAGCTGTGTCCTCAGATGGGAAGAGATACAGAGGAGGACTACACAGGTCTGCGAGCTCCAGCATGCAGGAAGACTGAAGCAGGGGCACTGCAAGTCTGAGCCCCGCTTGGCAGCTCAGTAATTTGTGAGACCTCTAGTCCTATGAGAAATGTGATCACCGTGTGCTACAAACATATAAACAAATAAATAAATGGGAAAAGAAAAATAAATAAATAAATAAATAAATAAATGGGTCCAAGAGATGGAGGGAGAGGAAGAATTAAGAACTAAATGTGAGCCAGGCATGGTGGCACACGCCTATAATCCCAGCACTGGGAGTGGAGGTGCTGAAACAGGAAGATCACTGCAGGTTTACAAGTTCAAAGCCAGCCTAGGCTCCCTAGTGAATTCAAGGCCAGCCTGCATTACATGGCAAGACCTTGTCTCAAAAATAAATACATAAACAAATAAAAACAAAGAGAAGAACTGAGCCCATACTGAACATTCACAGACTTTTTCCTTGTCATTACTTGTAAAATAATACAGTATAACAACTCCTTACTCATTGTTTACATTGTGTTAGTTTTTCTCTGTTTTGGAGACAGGGTCCTGCTACCTGGGGCAGGCTGGCCCTAAACTCTCAGCCATCATCCTGCCTCAGCCTTCTGGGTGCTGCTGGCTGTAACCTGAACCTGGGAGAGTGTGAGGGTTACGTGTAGGTACTGTGCCACTGAGCTGGGGCACAGCTTGGCGGAACACTTGCCTACCATGCAGGGTTCCTGGCATCTACGCCAGCACCTCCAAGAAAAAAAAAAAAAAAAAAGGAAAATACTGTGTCACTTTCAACAAGGGACCTGGGCATCTGCGAATGACCAGTACCTGTGCAGGGGTCCAGGACTCGATTCCTGGCAGACACGAAGGACCCGTTACATGGCAAAATCCAAAAAAGACATCAAAATGAAAAGGCAAGCCGGTGTGGTAGCATGCCTGTAATCGAGCCCTCCGGAGGCTAAGGATTGCTGTGAGTTCAGGGTCAGCCTGGGCTACAATGTGCGTTCAAGGCCAGCCTGAACCACATGGTAAAAACCTGCCTCAAAAAGACAAAAAAAAGACCCTGGGAGATGGCTCAGTGGAATAAGCGCTTCCCTGGCAAGCACAAGGATCTGAGTTCAATCCCCGGTTCTGCCCAAAAAAAGAAGAAAAGAAAGAAGAATAAAGAGGAAGAGAAAAAGATGAAGAAAGAAAAGTCAAACGATAGCCCACAGGGAAACCTGGCCTGCTGTCCCACATGGGCCATCACTGTACAGGGTCCAAGAGATAAACGATGTTTTACTAGTTCGAAAAGTCAGTGTGTGTAAATTAAGCTTTCTTGAACACTCCCAGCCTGTTTATTCCCATGTGGCCCACACTGCTTTTGCACTACAATGAGACCAAGCACCCCACACTTTACTGTTGCAGTGTAGAAAGTTTGCCTGGAAAATAAACACCTAAGAAGAACAAGAGTTTGCTCGGCTCCATTCACACAGAGCCCTTCACTGTGCCTGACCCCAGCCCGAGGGCACCACACAAGTTAGTTTATTTAAGCCTCAAGACTCTATATAAAGTAGCTGCTGTGATTATCACTGATATTTTACAGGTTAGGAAACTGAGGCGCGGAGAAGGGAGCACCTGAGGTCACAGTCTGTAAGCAGCGGTGCTGGGCTCCTGGACTCCCCTCCTCGCTCCCATACCACAACCTTCCAAACTGGTTTCCCAGCTGCACTCGGTGCCCATTAGAAATGGCCAGGTACGGTGTTGCACACCTGAAAGGACTCTGGGAGGCTGAGGCAGGAGGATCACAAGTTCCATCCCAGCCCAGGCGACTTAGCAATTTAGTAAGACCCATCTCAAAGCAAACAATAAAAAGGGCCAGGGATGTAGCTCAGGGCAAAGGCCCTGGGCCCAATCACCAGCAATGCCAAAACAGCCCCACCAAACAGAATAAAACCATGAGTGTGGGCCAGGTGTGGTGGTGCACGCCAGTAGTCACAGCACTGGAGAGGATGAGGCAGGAGAATCATTGTGAGTGAGAGCAACCTGGGCTACAAAGTGAGCTCAAGGCCAGCCTGAAATGTACAGCAAGCCCCTGTCTCAAAAAGAAAACCAACCATAAGTGCCACTTTAGGAAACTTGTTTTGGTGACATAGGCACTTGTATGCATCTGGGACAGTGACACAAGACAGAACAAGGTGGTGACAGACAACAGCAAGGCAGTGCTAAATAAAGGCAGCATATAAAGTTATCCAGTAAGATAATCAGACGACAGACCCTGCGCATCTGCTGTGCAGACACAAAGGGCGAGTGTGCATGCCCGTGTGCCCACACGCACTCTGGGTCCAGAGGTCAGAGGGCACACAGCGTGGGGCCCATTTCATTGCCCAGAACAATGGTTTTCACACAGATCGTTCTACCACCAAATACCCAGCTGTGTGCTCCCGTCCCACCACACTACCTTCTTGGGTATCTTCCACCTGCCCGGCCCTGCCCTGTCCTCCCTGGTTGACATCATTGTGAGACCACTGAGAAGTCTACAAGCGCCACACACAGTTGGCCAGGCAGTTTCGAGCTGAATGATGGGCATGGCTGGTTGCAGACTTGGGCTGTCCCAGAGACAGACACGTGGAGGAGAGATGCAGTGGGCTGCTGGGCCCGCGAGCCCAGGACTGGCTGAGGGGAGGTTACTGTTTCTGTGCTGGGGACTGAACCCAGGGCCTTTCCACTGAGTTACATCCCCTGTCCTTTTGCATATTTTACTCTGAAACAGAATTTTGTTAATTGGCCCATGCTGGGCTTAAATATGCCATCCCCTACCTCAGGCTCCCGGGTGCTGGGATTACAGGTGTGCTCTACCACACCTGGCTCTACAGGCGCTTTCCCACCCCCAGTGATCTGGCTCCATCCTGGCCTCAAGGCCCTTTGGCAACTCAGGACCAGTCCCATCAGTGTTGTCCCTAGAAACAACACCACCAAGTGGAGTGCAGAGGCACAGAGCTGCCATCCAGTGCTCTGGGAAGCTGAGGCATAGGATCACCAGGGCAAAGCACGCCTGGGCAACTTAGTAAAACGCTGTCTCCAAGTTCACGGAAAGGGCACTGAGGCAGCTCAGTGCACAGGCCCTGGGCTCAACCCTTAGCACTGCCAGAACAAAACACGACCCTGGGCTAAGCAGGCTTAACTCATGAACTCCACATTCAGGCTGCTCCATCTCACCCCAGCAGCAGCCTCTGGAGTCCCCGGCCCTGGGGTAGAGGCAGGGCTTCCAAGTGGAGCCCAGGCTCCTCCAGGTCAGAGCCCAGGCTACTGCTGGCCCCAGTTCCACTGGGATCACTCCCACCTCTTCCTACCTAACAACTGGTTCTTTCTCAACCCTAAGATCCACCCTCAGTGTAAAGGATACCCCCCCTCCCAAATGTCTATCACTGATGGGAGAGAAAGGTTCCTTTTTCAGGCCGTCAAGAGTTTTTAAGAGGCGCCGGGGAGACGGCTCAGTAGAATAAGTGCTTGCCTAGCAAGCGGAAGGGCCTGAGTTCAATCCCTTGTTCTGCCAAAAAAAAAAAAAAAAAAAAATTCAAAAAAAAAAAAAAAAGAAAGAAAAGTTTCTAAGAATCCATGTGAAGAGGGCTAGCAACTCCAACTTCAAATCAGTGAAGGACAGCAACAGAAAGTTGCATGGAACACAATCTACACACAGCTCTTTATCTATACAAGCCTGCCAGCCTCATTCACAATAAAACAACTACAAATTCGATCAACACAAGACACCACTTCCCACCTATCAGATCGGCAGAGTTCAGTCTCTCGACAACACTGCAGGAGAACAGGCACAAGCCATATCTTGCTGACAAAGGTAAAACCAACTAACACTCCTATGAGGGGCACTGTCTGTCAGAAATATAAATGCCTACTCCTTCGATCCAGTAGCTTCCTTTCAAAGAAGGCCAGTCATGACGGCACACACCTGTTATCCCAGACTCGGGAGGCGGAGGCAAGAGGATCACCTTAAGTTCAGGACCAGCCTATGCTAAAGAGTGAGTTCAAGGTCAGTTTGAGCTGCATATGAGATCCTGTCTCAAAAAATAAAACAAAGAAGCATTGTCCAGAATGCTGCCCATAACAACACCTTTTTATGCATCTTTGTTCGTAACAGCACAGGACCAAGAGGGACTTCACAGTGCAGTGAGGACCGGCTAGCAAACAATGGCACAACTGTACGATGGGATAGCGCTTGCCACTGAGGGAGCACGGATAGGCAGGAGGCAGCCCGCCAGCAGCTCTTTACAAATGGAAGGGTCAGGGGGCCTGGCCCTAGCTCAGTCCTTTAAGTGGCTGCTTCCACAAAGCTGTCAGCCTCAGGTTGCTGGAGTTCAAACCTCACAACTCTCCCGCTGGCCAAAAGTGCCCTGAAGGCATTCGAGGAACAAAAAAAAAAAAAAACCCAAATGGAAGGGTCAGGAGCCAGAGCAGTTCTGCTCTAGGAGAGCCAAGAGAAGCGGCCTCGGGAGTGGCTGCCCGTTGGGGAGAGGGCACTCCCTGTCACAGCCACGTTCTGCGTTGTTCCTACAGGTCTCAGAAATTAAAATGCTACCTTTAGAGATAACCCCATTCCCTACCATATGCATTTTCTTCTTCTTTCTTTCTTTTTGGAGACAGGGTCTTGCTACATAGCCCTGGCTGGCCACAGACTCACAGTAATTCTCTTGCCTCAGCATCCCGAGTGCGAGAGTTCCAGACAGGCACCACCATGGGAGGCTTCTGCTGAGGGTACCCCGCACCGCTGCCTAGTGCATCAGAGCGCTGAGCTGGTCCTGGCCTCAAGGATGTGTGACCATCATCGGGAGCTACCCAGGAGAGACGGCAGTGGGACCGGGGGACACAGGAGAGCACCATTTCCCAGGCCAGCGCACAGAGGCAGGCAGCGCAGAGTACGAGGAAGAGGAGGAGAGCGGGGAGGCCGCGGGGGCAGGGGGAGGCCGCGTCTGCGCTGCAGAGAAGCTGCTGGAGTCAGTCTACCTGGGGGCCCGGAGCCGGGGAGGCCTGGCTTTCGGGGGCCTGAGGGCCAGGGCCGGCTCCTCTGGAGAGCGGGGCTGCCGAGGCTGGGTCGTGGGCGGGAGGCGCGGCGCCGACTATGACCGCGGCCGGCACAGACAGGCGGGGGCCCTCCGCAGGGAGGGCTGGCTGGCTCCTCTCCTGCAACGGTGGCCGCATGGGGTCAGAAGCCCCCTCCCACGCCCCCCAGCATAAGAGCCCAGGTCCCTACTGGCGTTCTGGGAGCCCCAGAGAATGGAGTGTCAGTCAGCCAGGGGCCCAACAGGCCAGGACCTAAGGATCTTGCTCCATTCTGAGTTCTGTAGGGTTGGCTGACTTTAGCTCCATCCCAGAGCCTATCTCCTGCCCCTGTCTATCCAGCCATACACATCCAGCTCCCTCCCTGAGGTTCCCCTTCTCCCTGCCTGTCAACTGGCCAGTCCTTTCCTCCCCTTCCTGTGGTCAGTCACCCGCCCTGCCAATCTGTCTTATCAGGTCAGCTGGGCCCCTCACCGTGGGCTCCCCAGGGACACAAGCACCTGTGCCACCTCTGAGATGCCTCTGGGGCTGAGCCCCTCCCCAGCTGTCTGGGCTCCCCCTGCTGTCAGCTCTGCCCTCACCCCCACCTCCCTGCCTGCCTGCTTGGCCGGCCAGCCCCAGTACCTGGGGCAGGAACATCTGCAGGGAGTCCTGAGTGAGGATGGCCGCGGTGGCAGCAGAGGCCGGCTGCCCCAGGATGATCTTCTCCGGGCTGGACGCCAGCACAGGGCTGGGCTGAGGGGTGGTGGCCTGAGGTGGGGCGGCGGCCTGGGGGGCGGTGACCTGCGAGGCCTGCGGTGGGGGCTGCTGGAGGCCCAAAGGCAGTGGTGTGCTGACCGCAGGAGGCACCGGAGGAGCAGGTTGCACGGCGAGGACAGGTGTGGCCTCCCCGGTGGCTGCAGCAGGAGTGGCTGGCTGCACCAGCCCCTCAGGGGTGTTGAGCATAGCCACGGCGCTGGGGGGCAGGGTGACCCCCTGGAGGACGGTGGTGGCGGCGGGGCCAGTGGGGGCGGGCTGGCTCTGCGTGGGCAAGCTGCCAGCGGCCAGCGACACGGGCATCTGGAAGAGCGCCGGCTGGCCCACCTGGATAGGTGCGGCTGAGAGGATATGAGCCGCACTGTGGGCCCCGGAGTGAGGGGCCAGGACCGGGCCCAGGCTCAGAGGGCCCGCCAGGTTCTGGTTGGTGAGGATGGGGTTGGCAATGAGCTGTCCACCTGGGTGGGGAGCGGCGGCTGTGAGGATCTGGCCACCCACATTAGCCGGCAGGGCGGAGAGGGGCTGAGGCAGAGGGACAGCGGCAGGTGCACCAGGCAGCAGGAACTGGTTCTGGCCCGGCAGCACGTGCTGTGCGGGGATGACAATGCTGCTACCCTGGTTCAGCAGGTGGACACTCATGGGCTTGCTCAAGGCTCCAGGAGGCTGAGGTGGCGCTGTGCCCGCGGTGGTGACCGGGGGCTGCTTGAAGACATTGGCCTGCAGGGTGGGTGCTGGGAAGCCGGAGAGCACCACATTCTGGCCAGCCTTGCCTGCTGTTGCTGCCATGAAAGTCAGGTTCTGCGGGGCTTTGGGCTGCTGTGGGAGAGCCCCCGGCTCACCCTGGATGGTGAGCGTAGCGCCTGCGGGGCCAAATGGCTTGGGTGTCAGCTGGTAGAGCTTGGGAGGCAGCACTCCGGCGGGCTTGGGCTGGATGGGCGTGGGTGTGCGATGCAGTATCACGTTGGGGGCTGGCACCAGAGGCGATGTGCCCAGGCCTGGGGCAACTGCCAGTGGCTGTCCCGAGGGTGCCCCACTGGCTGCCACAGTGGCAGCCCCTGCCCCTGCAAACACTGAGTTCCCATTGAGTGTGGTGGCCACAGCGGCTGGAAGGCTCTTCTGGATGACTAGGCCAGCCCCCTGGGGGGACACACCAGCTGATGCCAGGGTCACTGGCTCTGAGGGGCCAGCTGCTGAGGCCAGGTAGCCACTTACAGGCACCTGCTTGGCCAGGAGTTGTGAGGCGGGTGGGTTGAGTGCCATGACAGGCTGGCCCACCACCTGGATCGGTGCCAGGCCAAGAGTGGCAGCTGCAGTGCCCCCAGGACTACCATTGGGCAGGCCCTGGAGGCCTGGGATGGGCTGCAGGGTCACGTTGCCCAGGCCCACAGGCTGCAGGAAGGGCTGCACGCTCAGGGCCTTGTTGACCACGTCCTGGGGTGGCACCAGGGCCTGGTGGGTCAGCACAGTGGGTGGGGCTTGCAGCCCCAGCAGGTCAGTGCTGCCTGGGAAGAGGGCCTGGGGTCCTGTGGCCACAGCGGCTGCCCCTGCGGTGCCTGTTGGGCCTGCCCCGCCATCTGCAGGCTGTAGGGTAGGCAGCTGGAAGGGGCCCAGGTCCAGCTCAGCCTCGGCCTCAAGTGTCTGCTCTGTGATGTTGGCCTCTTGCAGGCTCTGCTGAAGGATGTCACAGGGCTGGTCGGCGCCCCCACCTCCTCCAGCACCACCCGCCGTGGCGGGTGAGCCCAGGATGTCATCTTCTAGGAAGTCCAGGTCCACGCTGGGGGCTGGCTGGCTGGGCTCAGGGTTCAGGTGGTTGCCGGAAGCTTCTTGCACGTGGAGCTGGAGGCCAGGGAGGGAGGAAGGGAATAGGTAAGGTTGGCCAAGAGCTGGGCTTGGACCACAGCTGCCACAAAGGACACCTGGTGCCAAGACAGCCAAGTCCAAGAAGGAGCGTTCCATCTGGAAGTGAGGGAGCCTGGGATCAATGCTGGCGTCTGGCTGTGTGACCTGGAGCTTGCTTGATCTGACCTCAGTCTCTCCAGCAGTGCTCAGTGGAAGGGAATAAAAATAATTCACCCCATGGGGCCAGGGAGATAGCTCAGTGGAATACGCGCTTCCCTGGCAAGCGCAAGGGCCTGAGTTCAAACCCCAGTTCCGCCAAAAAAAAAAAAAAAAAAAAAAAAAAAAATTCACCCCCATTTTAAAATCTGAAAAATTTTGTAATTTTAAGACATGCCTGGGGTTGGGGAGTAAGCTCAGCGGTCTAAGTACCTTCCTGGTAAGTGAAAAGGACCCCAGTTCAATCCTGGGTACTGCACGTTGTGCTGGCCCTGCAACCTGGCCCCAAAACCAGGCGTGGTGGTGCATGTCTGTAATCCTAGTGCTGGGGAAGCTGAGACAAGAGGATCACTATGAGTCCGAGCTGCATAGCAGGACCCTCTATCCAATTAAAAAAAAAAAAAAAAAAAAAATCAATTAAAAAAAAAAATTAGCCTGGCCCCAGAGGCTTCCAATGAAGAACTGAGGCTGGGTTAAAAAACAGAATAACAGAGCCATAGCGACAGCTCAGAACCATAGAGATAGCTCAGAGGCATCAGCACCTACCTGGCAAGCACAAGGACTCGAGTTTGATCCCCAGCGCCACACGCTGTGCAGTCTCAGCCCCAGATGCCTAGGCCTGCCCTTTTGGCCCCAGGCATTGTGGCACAAGCCTGTAATCCCAGCACTTGGGAGGCTGAGCCAGGAAGATCTCTGTGAGTTTTTTTTTTTTTTTTTTTTTTTTTGCGGAAATGGGGACTGAACTCAGGCCCTTGCGTTTGCCAGGGAAGCGCTTCTTCCACTGAGCCATCTCCCCAGCCCCTCTCTGTGAGTTTTGACACCAACCTGGGGCTACAAAAGTGAGCACAAGGCCAGCCCAAACTGCATAGTGAGAACCTGTCTAAAAAAAAAAAAAAAGTAGTGCTAGGTGTGGTGGGGAACACCTGGCATCCCAGCACTCAGAGGCTGAGGCAGGAGGATCACTGGGTCCAAGGTCATCCTGGGCTATGTTGTTTAAGGCAGCCTGAGCTACATAGAGAGACCTTTTCCCAAACAAAAAAAGAAAGAAAAAGAAAATCACTACAATAGAGGTGTGGGCCACAACAGCCATCCGTAAGCCCTGGTACCAAATGCAGGAACACAATTTTTTTTTTTTTTTTTGCGGAACCGGGGATTGAATTTTAGGCCCTTGCGCTTGCCAGGGAAGCACTTACTTCACTGAGCCATCTCCCCGGCCCTGGAACACACCGTGTCTTAACTGCCCCTCCTGCTGTCCTGAATGGAGATCTAGGACATGCACCTAGAAATACCAGTACACACACCTGCCCAGCACTCCACAAGCCACAGTAAGGGTGGGTTGCCTTAGCCACTGATCTGTGCCCAGCAAATGGATCTACACCTGTGCTGGATGCCAGACACAATGTACATGCCTGTTATCCTAGCTCTCTGGGAGGCTGAGACAGGAGGATCACACATTAAAGCCTAGCCTGAGCAACTCAGTGAAACTGTCTTCAAAATAAAAAAATAGGGCCTGTGAAATAGCTCAGCAGATTAAAGCACCTGCAAGCAGGCACAGGGCTGGGGAGTTTGATCCCCAAGCCTGCTACCAGCCCCGCCCTGGCGTGGGGCGGGGGGGGGAGGGGGGCACACTGAGAGGCAATTGAGACTGTGCATGGTAGCACATGCCTGTAATCCCAGTTCTTGGGAGGCTGTAAACAGGCGGATCACTACAAGTTGGATCTAGTAGTGAGACCCTGAACACCCTGTAGACCCTTCCCTAAAATGTACAAAAAATAAAAATAACTAAATAAAGGGGAGAGGAGCTGGGGATGTAGCTCAGTGTGACAGCCCTGGATTTAATTCCCAGAACAACAAAAGAAAAAAAAAAAGTTCAAGGGCGGGCTGGTGAGATGTTTCAGTGGTCTAAAGCACCTACCTAGAACAAGCTAAGCTTAAAGCACAGAGACCGCGGTTCAATTCCCCAGCACCACATGCCAGCCAGCCCCGCCCCCTGGTGGGCTGAGCTGGCCACACACACACACACACACACACACACACACACGTAAATAAAATTTAAAAAATAAATAAATAAAAATAAAAATAAAAAAAAGTTCAAGGGGAATTAAAAAAAAAACAAAACCCTGAAGTTGGAAAGATCTTGATCCATACAGAGGGCTCATAGCAATGCCTAGCCTGTGGCACAAATGTGAGGCATGACACCGTCACCGCCACCCATGTTGTCAACAGTAGCTCAGGGAGGCAGCCACTGCTCCCAGCCTTGCACCGGGAAGGAAGGCCCAGGGTCCAAGCCAGTGAGAGGTTGCACAGGGCTGCCAGGATAGGGCTCCCCGCTTAGCCCCCAACCTGCAAGGGCCAGGCAGGGCAAGTGCCCCTACATGTCAGAGGGTGCAAGCACGCACCCCCCACAACAGGTGTGGAAACACATCACCTCTGCACTGGGCTCAGGACTCTATGGCTATGGAAGAATAGAGGTACGACAAGAGCAATAACCACAAAATAATTGATGTTCATGGTTGGCGCCACTGCTGGGTCTATAAATGCACTGTAAGGACTAAAGGTCAATGGCTAAAAAGAACCAGGTGTGGAGTGAATGCTCAGGAAACAACAGTTACAGTGGCAGACAAGGAAGGGGCTGCTCTGGGCTTTGGTCTGAGCTCTGCAGGTCAACAGGTCCCCCACTCAGATCACATGCCCACTGCTGAGTGTTCCCTGGGGCTCCTGGAGCCAGCATCAACCTTAGTGGCCCAGAACTGCACTACACGGCAGGCCCCACTCTGCACCCCCTCCCCCCGTTCTCTGTAGTTGCTGCTTCTGCCTTCATGGGTCGCAAACTCTCAGGGCCCAGGCCTCCCCTCGGGCCACCAGCCCTTCCTCCCACTTACCCCGGGACCTTCATAGAAGGCACTTTGGGCCTCTCCAGGGGCATCCAGGAGATCATCACTGTCCAGCTGCAACGAGACCCACCCCCAAGGTCCAAAGTCAGCAGGGCTGCCCAGGCTCAGCAGTGCTAAGGAAGGGCGCAGGATACAGGAACCTATACTCAGGCTGCAGACTGGGGTCAGCTGGCCGCAAGTTTCTGGCCAGGCATGCCTGCCCCTCCTCCACACACAAGGGCTTAATACCCAAAGGCACCAGCTCTAGCAGGGCTCAGTGCCCAAACAGCACCTAGAGCCTCTGTCCGTGGTCTAGGCCTCCCAGAAGCCTTGCTGGGATACCCAACAGTTTCCTAACTCTGGAACCCCACCCCCAACTCCCCATCTTCCAAACCGTAGTCAGGCACCACCACTCCCTTCTCGTGGCCACCTACGGATCTGGGTGACTCCATCTCCCACCTGGATCCCAGTCTGTACCCCTCACCTCCTCCACAGCCTCCTCCATCAGGCCACTGATGCCTTGGTCCCTGAATTACCAGCTATTTTTCCTTGCAAGGGACAACTCAGCTCCCCTCCCTCAAGGGGGGCCTGGACTTAGCGCCCTGTGCTGCCAGGGACTCTATGTGAGGGAAGCGCACGACCTTGGAGATGCCCCTCAGATCACTGCTCTGGGGTGGCAGCTGCCACAGCCCAAGGACACTCAGGTAGGGCTGCACTGAGGTCCCTGCCAACAGCCACTGACACAGGCCACAGAGGAGGGCAATGCCACCCAAGAGGGCTGTAACCCCCCATCTCAATGGCAATATCCTGACAGCGCCCAAGCCAGAGCTGAGTCAGCTGGCGCGAGGCACGCACACGGCCCCTCAAACGCTGGGTCTTCCGCAGCGGCAGCACTGTGTCCCAGGCTCCACAGGCGCGGCACCTCTGCTGGCCCTGCTCAATAACCCCCACAGCTGTCGCCAGTCAGAGTAGAAACCACCTTCCTGTCTTTCAGCATGACATCCCTTCCTCCACCTGTGTCCCTGCTCTTCCCCTGCTCAGAAAGCCACCGCCACCTGCAGTGTCACCTCCTCAGTCACCCTCTCTGACCACACTAAAGAAGCCCCTCATCCCACTCATTCTTATTGTCTGTCTGTCTTTTTGGAACAGGGTCTCACTGTACAGTTCAGGCTGGCCTGGTGTATTCATTTTCTCTTACATTTATTTTCTCATCTGGGGACTGGATAGGGCTTGTGAATGCTGGGTGAGCACCCTGCACTGAGCCTCCTTAGCCCAAATTTCTTTTCCTACATAGACAAAATTTTTTGTTGTCTTGTGAGATAAGGTATTGCTACATATTGCAGGCTGGCCTTGAACTCACAAGGTAACTCAGCTGGTCCCAAACTAGCAGCAATCTTGCCTCAGCCTTCCAACTGCTGGGGCTACAGGTGGGTGACACCACACCTGGTTGACATTTTTATTTTTTAATCACACTCTGAATGGTGCTTTTCACTGTCACCGTTTTATTAGCTCGTGGCTTCTTCACTGACTAAGGGAATACAGATGGTGTGAGAGCAGGGATCCACCGCTGCCCCGCTCAGCAATCCCTGCTCAGCACAGAACCCAGCCCTGCTTGGCAAGCACTGCTCCCCACTGCACTCACCTTCTCTGACCCATGCAAGAAGTCGTTGAGGGCCTGAGGGTCACTGAAAGAGAAGAAAGGGACACTGAGGCTGTGGGCTGGGCAGGGAGGAGGGAGGGCATCTGAGACAGAGGGCGGGGAGCCCGTTACTCACCAAATCACGTCTAGTAAGCATCTCCCATCCTCATCATCCATCGCCACTGGATGGGTGGGGTCAGGAAGAGGGCGAGGGAGACAAGGTTAGATTGTGGTGGTGTGCCCAGCCCCTCCCTTCAGGGAGCCCCTGCAGGTGCTGGGGCTTCCGCTCCCTTGAGTCCACAGGGACAGGTGGAGCCAAGGCTCATGGCCCGGGAGCCCCCTTCCCTCTTGCCCTCACCCAAGCTCCTAGCCCCTGAGGTGGACAGTGTACAGCCAAACCAGGAGAGCCCTGGCTGCACACAGGCCTGGCACTAAGTGCCCTAGACATGAGGAGTTATGTGGATCCCTCCAGAGGCCATGAGGGGACCAGCCACCCTGCTTTGCCGATGAGGAGCGGGAGGCACTGAAATGGTCACTCTCCGTCTCCCAGCGAGCAGGTCTCAGGGCCTGGCCTGGAACCCACAGTGACCACCCTGCGCCCTGCTCCTCCAATGCAGGCCGTGACCCAGAGGCAGTGTGGAGGGACCTGTCCTCAGGGTAACAGGGTGACGGAGGGAGCTGGGAGCAGCAGGAAGGGCCAAGGGTCTGAGGTCCCGGTGCCCCTGAAGCTCTAGGCAGTGTGACTCTCAAGGAAGGGAGGGGCCACCAGGAAACTGAGGCAGAAGCAAGGGGAGGTCCACAGGGTGGGTGCTGAGTCAGAGGCTGCCGAGCAAGCCGTGAGAATGATGAGGATGAGGAGGGCTAACGTTTGTTGAGCGCTTCAGCCCAATGGGGCACAGTCTAAGCGCATCACAAATGTTAGCACGTTTGAACCCGGGGAGAGGGATGCTCTCCGTCCCCCGTGTCACACCCACGGTGACTGGTGCTGCCCGGGTCTGTCCATCAGCCCCATCCCCCACCCAGCCTCCATGCCTGCCCTTCGTGACATCCCTGCTCCCTCCATCCTTCCGAGCTTCCATTATGGACCCCCCACCCCCAGGGACGAGCAAGGTGTGGACCGCAGGGCAGAGGCACATCCAGGATGGGCTGCCACCCTCCCACACATGTGTGTGTAAGGTCCTGGATGTCACTGAGGCACCTCACAAGCACACAAGCTATGTGGGGTCCCTGCATCCAGAAAGTGCTCTGCCTGTGCCTGGCAACGACCCTGGCCCCTGGCCTCAGGCACACTGTGACTAAGGCAGTCTTAGACAGTGGCCCTGGAAGAGGCAGGGTTTCTCCCGAGTCCTGGCCTGTGGACCCTCCTTAGAAACCCATGTGCATGGGGGACGTTTTACACGCCCAGCCCCGACCCCCCCATGAGATGCAGACAGCACACACGTGCCCTGGGCCACACCATATACGTGACCACCCTGCTCCTCAGCAGCCTCCACTGAGACCCTCCTGTGAGACCCTCATTCTACAACTGGCCTGGGAGTGGCCTGAAAAGGCACAGTCTGCCCAGGGTCCTCCAGGCAGAGGCCTTTAGGACCATCCCAGGGGGTGCCAGGCCTTCTGCCCTGAGCACACATGGGTCCAAGAAGTGTGTGGAAGGGCAGCTGCCCTGGAAGCAGACAGGACCCCCACTCCCACCCCATTACCTGTGCTACAAACGAATCATGAAGGGAAGGTGGGGGTGTCCACTCCAGGTCTACGCGGGGCCCCCAGCTGGGGACTTGGAGAGCGTCCTCTCGGGGGCCAGCTGCGGGAAGAATGAGAGGCTGAATGAGTGGGAAAATGACACGCTCAGTGACAGACAGATGGACAGATGGAAGGACAGACAAAGTGAGGTGCAGGGCCAAGGGCCAGGGCCTGGGGAGGAAGGCAAAAAGTGTGGGTGGAGGGGACAGACAGGAGATGAGGTGGACAGGGGAGAGCAGGAGATGACAGGTTCAAGTTCAAAACCACACCAACTCGCACTCTGTCACGGCGCACCCGAGGTGCGTGGAGCAGCACACTAGAGACCACATCTTGTCACACCCAATCGTGGGCTCGCCACTCAAGTCAGGCCTTGTGAGTCAGACAGCCCTGGGGTGAAGGTGGGGGGCTGCCGGGGACCCACAGTCCTGGGAGTCTCTTGCTGCAACACCCTTACCTAACCCTGACCACTCTGTCCCTGTGGTCTCGGTGTTTCTGTTTATTTTTTAAATTTTTTTTTTCGGTGTTTCTGTTTAAAATCACCTTCTTTAGGCCACACACAGGGTGACCACAACGGGCCATTGGTGAAGGCTTAAATTTTGCAGAGTGTATTACAGAACTGCTGAAAACAGCCCCAGCCTGGAACACACTTGCCCATCGTCTTTGCCTCTTTTACGTCTTTACAAAGCATGTTCACAGAGAGGTACAAGTTGCTGCCACGCGCCACCCACCGGAAGGCAGGTGCATACAAATGTGACAGCAAGTCCTCACCCACGCTATGCATCTGATCTGCCACCATGCCACCTCTGGCTCTTCTCCAAAGTCAAAATGACATGGACAGGAAACATTTTAAATCAATCGAGGACACTGAGGCAGCCACGACCATGTAACTAAAGACATTCATGAAAGAAAACTCCAGAACTGCTGCAGAAAGGGACAAGAATGATGGGGCAGATGTGTTCCAGGCGAGGGGGAAAGTCTTCGAGGATGGATTAATGGCGCGGTCTTTAACTGTAATCAACTGAAAACAAAAGCCATTCACTGTAGTTTTCAGTGACACCTCATACTGCCGATTTGCTTACCCTAAGTTTACAGCTATGGCCTTTTGCAAATGGAGCGGGTCAATCTCCACACATGGAATCTAAGGGTAGTGACAATGAACCATGCTGGGAGTCATTCTCCCCCTGGAAGTCATTACCAGGCAGAGGTTTCTACCATACTACTCTGCAGATGAGGAAACCTAGGCACAGGGTGGGAGGCTGATAATGTGGCCCCAACCCTGTGGTGGGGGAGGGGCAGCCACAGGGACTGCACCCCACTCACAGCCCTGACCCACAAAGCCCCTCTGTCCACAACATCCTTCAGAGCAAGTATGGCAGCGCCACCAGGCAGGGGGACGGTGCTGCTGCATCACCTCATGAATGCCTGGGATAGTTCAGGGCTGAGAAAGCAACAGAGCTACAAGCAAGAGAAAGACAGAAGGAGCGGTGTCCCCTCCTCCTCTAGGGGAAGGACAGGCCAAAGCAAGAAGATCGCAAGTTTGAGGCCAACCTGAACTATATAGCAAGAGCTTGTCTTAAAAAACAAACTAAACAGAAAGAAGAACAAACCAACCCGGGTGTGGTGATGCATTCCTATAATCCCAGCACCCTGTGAGGCTGAGACCAGAGGATCTTAAATTTGAGAGCAGCTAAGGGTGGTGGCACACACCTGTAATCCCAGCCCTCAGGAGGCTGAGGCAGGAGGATCCTTGTGTGTTCAAGATCAGCCTGGACTACCAAGTCAGCTCAAGGCCAGCCTGAACTGCATACTGAAGCCCTGTCTCAAAAAGCCAAAAAGAAAAAAGAAAAGAAAAAGAGCCCTCCTCTCCCAAGAGGCACATCCTGAAACATCAAGGAGTGAAATGACACTGCAGTTTATTGCGGGTGCTGAGGCATACAGACCTGGAGTTCCCTATTCTGCTGCCAGTAGACACACATGGCTGTATCCTTTTATGTTCAAATTTGTTAAAATGAAGGAAATTAGGGCAAGACATGAATAGCTGTTTCTCCAAGGAAAATCTACAAATATGCCAATAAGTCATGCAGAGGTGCTTGGCACGGGTAACCGCCAGGAACAGTCTGAGCCACAGGGCGGCGCCACCGCCTAGCTCAGGACCCGCCGCTGGGGGGATGGCTGGGAGTTGGAACCTGGAGCTGCCCGCTGCTGCTGGGAATCCAGAAGGCGGCCACCACCCTGGGAAACAGCCTGGCGGGGCTCCGAACATTAAAAATAGACCGAGCACATGATCCAGCCACTCCACCGGAGTGAACACGCAGGAGAAGGAGGCATGAGACGTGTCTGCACAGCCAGGTTCAGAGCAGCCTGCACCTCAGGGTCCTGCTCAAGGCAGACGTAGGGATCTGAAAATGTGTTCAATTAAAGGAGATTCCTGAGCTGGGACAGTGTGTAACCTGGGCACAGGTGAGGCCGAGGCAAGAGGGTCACTTAGAGTTCCAGGCTAGCCTGAGCTATACAGCAAGACCTTGTCAGAAAAAAACCAAATGCACACCCAGAAAGGGAATCTGACATGCACCGGGACACCGGGGCATTGCTGGACGCCACGCCAACTCAGAGAGCCTGGTCTGTAGGACACTGCCTGCAGGAGGCTCTGTCCCAGCCACAGGCAGGCAGGGCCGGGTAGTGGCCAGGCCGAAGGGACCTTTGCACGATGGGCAGAGCCATAGTTTGCAAAGACAAGGCGCTCGGGAGCCAGATGGTGAGGAGGCTGCCCTGCAAAAAATGAACTCCATTGCCCTGAAATGCACGCTCAACATGGGGCAGCTTAGGGAGGCCCCACCTCAAAAAATGTAAAGGGCTGAGGATGGAGCTCAGGGTGAAAGGGCCTGGGCCCAATGCCCACCCCAAAAAACAAAGAGGAAGGGTAAGCTGGTCACATTTTTTGTTGGCTAAAGAGGCAATTAGGCACATCTATTTAAATAAAATGTACATAAATATAAAATCAAGTGAAATTAAACAGTTCTCAGTGGCACTGGCTACACTGAAAGTGAGCAGGGGACCTGTGGCTGGTGGCCCCCTGGAGGGGCAGCCTCACCCCTTCTGTGAACCTGGAGGAAGGGAGTAGCCTTGGGGAGCACATGTGTATGTGAGGTTCTGCATTCTACCCTTCTCTCTACCATCTGAAATGCCCCAAAGTGATTTCTTACCTTCTTCAGCACTGGGGATGGAAACTCAGCATCTTCCACCGGAGCCACACCCCCCAGCCCTTGTTTTATTGTGAGCCAGCCTGACTAACTAACTAGCTAAGCTGCCCAGGCCAGGCTTGAAACTGTGATCCTCCTGCATCAGCCTCCCAAACAGCTGGGACCACAGGCCCGAGCCACCATGCCCAGCTGAACACTGTGTAAGTAAGAACACACTGAAGGATCACACGTGCCCCTCCCAGACAGGCAGTGGGCCCTCTGTGAGATCCCTGGAGCCTGCACACAGGGCTTGCAGTACTGTGCCGAATGAAGGAATCTGCACAGCAAGTTTAATAAACCCACTCACTTGTTCAAGAGGTGGCAGGTGAAAAGGGCATCTGTTAAGAACCTCCTTGGGAGCCCGGGGAGATGGCTCAGTGGAATAAGCGCTTCCCTGGCAAAGACAAGGGCCTGAGTTCAATCCCTGCTTCTGCACACCCCCCAAAAAAAAAGAAAGAAAGAAAGAAAGAAAGAAAAAAAAAAAAGAACCTCCTAGGGAGCCAGCATGGGGCAAGCACCAAGGATGCTTGGAAGCGCCTTAGCGGAGAGGAGGAGGGTCAGTGGTTCTCAATCTGGGGTGGCCCAGGTATCCCTCCCTGCCCTCCCTGCCCACCCTGCTCACCCCGACACACTCCAAAGATGTTAAACAATGACAGGGCCACAGGAACAAGGGCCCCGCACCACTGCCATCATGCTGCTGATGGTCTGTGTGGAAAGAGGCCTGGACTCTGGCCAATGTGCCCACAGTGCCCAGCCCTCGGCAGCAGGCACCTGAGCACAATGATGACCTGGGGCTCACTCTGCCTTCTGGCTCTGGAGGCAGGTCTTGCTTCTTACTGTGGCACCCCGCAGCTGAAGCAGACGGCTGCACCCCCAGTCCGCGGTGCCCTGCTGCCTCACTGCACTTCCCTGGCAGCAGGGCTCCGGCCGAGGCAGGCGCTGTGCTGCTGATGCTCCTCAGAACAGAGCGGCTCCAGGTCACACCACAGCCAGAATCTGAACTCGGCCCCGGGACTCCAACCCCCCACCCCCAAGCTTGCTATAAAAAGCCAGTCAGGCCAGGGCTGGAAACCACAGTGATGACACAAGAATGACAACGTGCCCTTCCAGAAGTTCTGGGAAGCCCTCCTCTCCCGGAAATGGAAACACGCCGAGTTCTGCGCCAGCACTGGGAGCTGTGGGAGGAGCCAGGCCGCAGCAGGGGCCAGAGCCAGAAGGCCCTGTAGGCCAGGAACCCGCGGGAAGGATCTGCGGCAGCTCTCCGGCCGGCCAGCGAGGAGCTCTATCATCCGGGAACTGTGCCATGGCTGCTAGGAAGCTGCAGCAGTGCCAGGGCTGCTCCCCAACTCCAGCCCTCCCTCCTCACTGGTCACCAGCAAGGTGGTGACCCCACAGTGTGAACAAGGACCGCTTGAGCCCAGCTTTTCCAAACTGTGGGGTGTGACTTGAAGGCTGTGAAATCAAATGGGCAGGCTGGGGCCAGAAACTGGTTTTTGTTTTTGTTTTGAGACAGGGTCTTGCTAGGTAGCTCTGGCTGGCTCTCATGGCAAACCTCCTGCCTCAGCCTCCTGAGTGCTGGGCTTACAGCCACATGCCTGGTGTTGACTAGGAATTTCTTTGAGCAACAACAGTATGGAGTCACATGGGATGGAAGACCACAGACACTATCAAGGTGCACATGGAAGCGACAGCTTGTGGAACTAGTACCAACCACGCGAGGCTGTACGTGTACACAGGGTCACAACAAACATCTTTTGTACTATGAATTGTGGCTGAAATAGTCCTAAAATAAAAAAATTAGGGGAGACTGGGGATACAGCTCAGTGGCACAAGCTCCTGCCTGGCAAGCACAAGGACCTGAGTTTGAGTCCTGGTACCAAAAAAAAAAAAAAAAAAAAAAAGAGCAGGAGCATTCCTAGCATCTTTATTATCAGATATTCTTTTTTTTTTAAATTTTATTTGTGTGTGTGTGTGTGTGTGTGTGTGTGTGTGTGGCCAGCTCAGCCCACCAGGGGGCGGGGCTGGCTGGCATGTGGTGCTGGGGGATTGAACCGCGGTCCCTGTGCTGTGCTTTGCTAAGCTTGTTCTAAGTAGGTGCTTTAGACCACTGAGCCATCTCACCAGCCCCATATTATCAGATCTTATCCCCAGCCTTCCTCATAGCTAGAGTAGCCAGGACACCACAAATAGTAAAAACTGAAGTGTACAGACTTGACCTCCACTCAATGAAATTTCAGTCTGGGAGACGTGGGGCAAGTTTTTCTGCTAAAATACAAAAACACAGTTTTTCGAGGAAGAGAGCTTTTGGCTCCTTGTTTTTAGTTTTGAACACAGTGGAAACAACTGGAGCCATGGCAGCTGTTTTGTGATGAGGAGGCAGAGAGCTTAAAGCTGATAAACCCACCTCAGAGAAAAACACTGGGCTCTTAAAAACTGAAAGACTGCCTGCCACCAAACTACTTTTTTCCCCAAAAAAATTTCTTAATTCTCACAGCTTGAGGAACTATTCGGCTTTCCTTTTTTTTTTTTTTTTAATAGCCATACATGTATGACCTGACACAAAAGAACTCACATTTTCAGCTATGTGTGTGACCCAGCTCAAGGACCCTCCTGGGCTGTCCAGGGCCTGGCACTACGTCGTGTGAACCAATAGGAGCAGTGGGGCTCAGCAAAGCCAGCCGGGAAGCTGGTGGGAAGTGGAGCAGAAACAAAGATCACCGCAGCGGGACCAGCACAGGTGGAAGCCCTGCCCCTCCCTAGGGCCACGCCACAGGCGCGGCTGCCAGCCCCACCCCAGCCCCACCCCTGACAGCACACACCAGCTCCTGGGGCTCTGAAGCCTGGGGTGGGGCTGCGCATCACGCAGCGGCACTGACTCGCACGCCCTCTCTGGGGGCCGGGAGCAGCCTGACCTCACCCCAGACACATGCAAGTCGCCACACTCCTCTCCAGGCCCCGGGCTTGGCCAGACCCGGTTGCACCGTCTCCTGTCACCTGTCCCCCGCCTGAGTTGACAGGTCACTGATCACAACTGGATGAACCTGTGTTAAGTCCTAGGAGGCTGAGGCAGAAGGCTCGAAAAAAAAACTGAGTCCAGCCTGGATGACCTGGCCAGGCTCTGTCTCAAAACAAAAAGTAAAAAGAGCTCGCGATGTAGCTCAATGCGAAGACCCTGGTTTAATCTTCAGTACTACAAAAGTCAACAACAGCAGAAAAACAACACCGACAACAACAAGACCATGCAAAGTCAGAGACAGCGGTTTGAATGGCACGGCTCACACCACAAATACCCAGAGCCACCAGAAATGAGACCAGGCAAAGAAGGAGTCTTGGGGGCTTGCAGGTTAGCTCAGCTGTTTAACCCAGTCAGGCGCAGGGGACCACGGTTCGAGCCCCAGCTCCACATGCCTTACCAGATGCACGCTTAAGGCAGCCGGAGCCAGCCCCCACCCCCAACAAAGAAATTCCTTCTCAGAGAAGGGGTCTTCCCAGAACCTAGGAGCAAGAGCGGCTGCCCAGGAGGCCCTGCCAACACCTGGATTTCAGACCCCTGGCTTCCAGAACTGGAAGAAAGTAACTTGCCGTTTTGCCAGGCACACGCTTATTCTACTGAGCATAACTTGCCATTTTGAGTCAAGGGTTTGTGGCATTTGTAACAGCAGCCATAGAAACCAACAGGGCATGTACACCTATAAGATAAAAACGGGGCAGGGCCAGGATGTAGATCAGTGGCACAGCACCTGCCTGGCAGTGCAAGGCTCCAACTTTGACTCTGGTACAAAACAAACAAGAAAAAAAAAACAAAAAAAACAAACCACATGTCAGATACCAAACATGCATACTAGGGACATGTTATTCACTGCACAAAAGCACATGGACAGAGGGGGAAGGTGGGGTCTCAAGTCCGCACAGGCTCCGCTCACACCTTCCAGTCCTGGAGAAGACGGTGCCCACCCATCTGCTGAGAGGAACCAGCCTCCCATCAGATGGACGGGACGCCTGAGGGCTGTGCACTGCTGGAGGAAGCTCCTCTTCCAATTCCACACAGAGGCAAGAAGAAGAAGGAAAAAGGAAGAAGAAGGGAGGAGGAGGAAGAGGAGGAGGAGGAAGAGGAGGAGGAGGAGGAGGAAGAGGAGGAGGACGAGGAAAAGAAGAGGAGGAGGAAGAAGAGGAAGAGGAAGAAGAAGGAAGGAAGGAAGAGGAGGAGAGGGAGGAGGAGGAAGAAGAGGAGGAGGACAACGACAAAGAAAGAAAGGAAGAAAGAAAGGAGGAGGAAAGAGAAGGAGGAGGAGGAAGAAGGAGGAGGAGGAGGAGGAGGAAGGGAGGGAGGGAGGGAGGGAAGGAAGGGAGGGGAGGAAAAAGGAGGAGAGGGAGGAGGAGGAAGAAGAGGAGGAGGACAACGATGACGAAGAAAGGAAGAAAGGAGGAGGAGGAGGAGGAGGAAGAGGAAGAGGAAGAGGAGGAGAACAACAACAAGAAAGTGTGACTCCAGTCAGGTGTGGTACCTCAAGCTGGAAATCCCAGCACTGGGGGCGCTGAGACAGGAGGATCCTTGGGAGTTCAAGACCAGCCTGGGCTACAAAGTGAGCTCAAGGCCAACCTGAACTGCATGCATAGCGAGACCCCGTCTCAAAATGACCAAAAAACCCACAAAAGTGTCCCCTGTAAACCTGGGATACTCATAAAATGACCAGAGGCCAGCTCTGAAAGCTCACTTAACACAGGTTTTCACTTTTATCTTTCTGTCCCTCCAAGGCTGTTCTTTTTGGAGACACATGCCTCACTATGCAGGCCTCAAACTCAAGGCGATCCTCCTGCCTCAGCCTGCTGAGTGCGGGATGACAGACGTGCACCCCGACGTCCAGTGAGAGGGTGCTTGTTGTTAATACAAGACATGAGAAAGCAGAGCCTACATTCTCACATGCTTGGCTGGGAGCACATGAATCTGGTGACTCAGATTTGTTGCCACCCTTCATGTGTCTGCAGTGGCTGACAATGCCCTGACAGTCTGGTCGAGCTCACAAATGAACCCTGATGATTTGAATGCAGTCCTCTAGTCAGAGGGCTCCACTGCCAATGGCCACACTGGCTTCATCCTGCCACTTCCTTTATGGGAAAGGGCTCTACGGCAAGTCCAAAGGGACACGTTTAAGGTGCTCTGACAGCTGGGTGGAGGTTATAATAGCAACACTCTAGAAACAAGTACCAGCCAGCAGTAGTAGAGGATTACACACACTGTATCCATGTGAAGGGGGTGGGTGGGTGGGATGTTTTGTTGTTGTAAAAAAAAGGAAAGCACAGACCAAAGCAGTAGGCATATAATCCCAGTACTTTGGGAGGCTGAGGCAAGAGGATCAGAAGTTCAACCTGGCCTGGGCAACTTGGCAAGACCCTGTCTCAAAAGGCAGAGGCTGGGGAGGCAGCTGGGCACAAAGGCCTGGCTTCAATCCCCAGGACCACACACCCCACAAGCATGAACTGCAGAAGGACCACACTGCTGGGAAGCTTGTTCGCTCCTACACCCTTGCCGAGAAATACGTGTGTACCTGGGTGCCCGGGGCTCCAAGTGGAGGCGACTGGAAGCCCATGTGCGCATGGCCGGGCAGCATGTGACACAACCACGTAGCTGATGCTCACGCCACCACATGAGCAGGATGGCCACGGGGCACATGCCATGACAAGGACGGGCCACCAAGGCAGGGTGCCAGATGCCCAAGGCCACGTGTTATGCAATTCTGTTTAGAGGACACATCTCAATAGACAGAAAACAGACTCAGGGCTGTGTGGCTGGGGTCTGGAATGGCTGTGCCTGGGACAATGGAAACGTCCCCAGATGAGCTAGAGTGAGGCCACATGCCCCTGTAAGTGTACTAAAACCCCTGAACTGTACACTTTCAGGGGATAGGTTTCATGGTCTGTGGTTATATCTCAATGAAGATGCCATAATCCCAGCACTCAGGAGGCTGAGGCAGGAGGACTGCCATGAGTTTGAGGCCCACCTGGGCTACAGTGCCAAGTTCAAGGCCAGTGTGAACTATATAATGAGACTGTCTCAAACAAAACAGCAAAAACATTCTCTGAACGCCCCAGGGTATCATTTCAGCAGGCTGTGTTTAGGCCCATGGTTACAAGCGGCTGCTGCACAAAGGCTAAACGGCACCCAATGCCGAGCAGTGGCTGCGCTTGGACCCAGTGAGCACTGAAGCGGGGCCATTCTGAGGGAAGCGAGTATCGGAGGCCCCAGCCCTCCCTCCTGCCCTCCATGGCAGCGTCCAGTTTGGATCTGCAGGAGCCTTTCCAGCAGCTATCCAGGGACCCACAACCACATAGTGCCCAGACAGGTCACCAGGAGAAAGCTGGAGCTTTGTAACCACCTATGCCTGCTCCATAATAACCCCCTGCCCGTGCTAGTGCAGCTGATGGTGAGGGAGAAAAGGGACAGGGCATGAGGGCTGAGGTCCCCAAGCAGCTGCAATGCCTCATGGGAAGGGTGTCAGCAGAAGCCCTGGGGCAAGGCCAGGGTGGCACAAGCAAAGGCCCTGGGGCACAAACACTGGTGCTAGCGAGCAGCTAGTGGTGCAGGCAACGCCCGGCAGCTGTATGAGGACAAGGCCACGGATCTAACTGGGCCTTCACAAGATGCAGAGCTAGACCTGGCGTAGGAAGCATGGGGAGTGGGGGTGGGGGACTGCAAGAGTCCAGGCTGGAGGTGGGAGAAGGGGCTCTGTCACAGGCAGAGCAGCAGGGCTGGCAAGAAGACAGGCCAGGGATGGCATCCGAATGTGGTGCGCATGGCCTCACCCACCTCTCCTCCCCATCCCTGATCATTTCTGGCCAACCCTGCTATGGTGTGTGATGGACCCAAGCTACTGACGACCTCACTCAGAGCTCAGAGTGAGGTGGGAGCTGCTCAGAGCTTCTGAGAAACCCCTACATGCCAGGTGACCCCCAAAGCAGAACCTCTCGCATTAGACTCTGTCCTCACTCCAAAGTCAAAACCGTTTCTATGGGCCAGCCAGATAGCTCAGCAGATTGAAGCACCCACTGAGGCAGACACAGGGACTGGGATTTGATCCCTGGAGTGCTGTGCCAGCCCCGGCTGAGAGGTGACTGAGACTGGGCATGGTGGTGCCCGCCTATAATCCCAGCTCTTGGGAGGCTGAAAACAGGAGGATCACTACAAGTCCAATCTGTGTAGTGAGACCCTATAGACCCTGTACTAAATATTTTTTTTTAAAGTTTCTGTATTTATCCTCGGCTTTGACTCCTTCCAGGATCTTTGAGTGGACTCCATGTACAGAGTGAGGTAGGGATGTGACTTCATCTCCTTCCACTTGGGTGATTCTGTGACCATGTGTGTGACACTGAGAAGTGAACAGGGCCTCAGACACGCTAGCCAAGCACAGTACCACTAAGCAACATCCCCATTTCTTTTCTATCTTTATTCTGAGATAGGTTCTTGCTAAGTTGCCCAGGCAGGCCTTGGACCTGCGATTCTCCTGCCTTAGCCTCCCAACTACCAAGTAACATTTATATTCTTTGTTCTCGCTGTTTTTTTCATTATGAGTCTTTTGTTCCCCCCTCTGGCCTTGTTCCTGACGTCCATGAATGCTTGACTCTCACTGGGGGCTCGCTGCTCTCTTCCACTGGCAGAATGCTAGTTACTTCTTCCCAAATCTCAGATAA